TTTTACCTGAAAATTTCAGAAGCTTTGTGTGAAATTGCGAACAAAATTATGTGTAAAATTAGAAGAAAAATATTCATCAGTTTACCGAGGAAGTCGTGTTTCATCCATGGAAATTTGGTAACGCCTGAAGGTTCATACGGCGTTTTTCCTTGATATGGCAGCGTAGAGGATCCCCTAGTCTTACAACGGGGATGAATCGGAGCTGGATAATAGGAGAAATTCCGGCTCGCGATTGACATGTCCGTTGGGGTGACGAGATACCTGTGCCAAGCTCGGCCGAAATTTGCGACTCGATAGGTGTAGGGTGCGGGCAGCGTGCCACGCTCGATCGCGCTTGGTTTTCGGCTCAAGCGCCAGTCTCAGCGCGGTCGTTTCGCGATTCGGCGCGAAGCTTTTGGTCACAAGTGTGGATCGGTGGATGTGCATTGTGCATGTGTGACCGATGGAGAGTCGAGAACAGGAGCAGAGGCCTGACTCGTGGCCTACCCGTCGCGGCGTTTTCCTCAGGATCACCAGCACCAGCAACGGGGTTACCGATCAAGAACAACAGGTTAGACGTTCGGCCCGGGATGTACGACATTGAGCTAGTAATCGTAGCGTCCTGTTTTTCAATTATTCCGAGTGATGAATTTTGAAAATTCGACGTATTTCTGCTAAATTGAACCAAGCGCCATGGTGGAAGGAGAAGAATGCGGGTTGGATTAGCTGGTGCAGTCGAACGACAAGCTCATTCCGTCCTATGCGCACAATGCTTTTCTACGGCGCTCAGTTCCGTTTGACAGAAAGCGCTATCTGGAATTCTGAAATCCTCTACAGGATCTCAAATTGGCACTTAGTTCCGTTTAGCAGAAATACGTACGATTAATAAATAGGTTAATTTTAATTTGATTTTTTCGAGAAGGAGGACCCCACCAAAACACTTTGAAGTATGTTTAAATAAAATGTAGTTGAATTATTCGCAGCTCCCTGTTCAGTGCATGTTGCACCTGGAATTTTTCCCTCCACGCTTTCATGACCCCATTCTTGGCGCCAATTGCAGTCATATTCACGACGGCAAAATTGAGAAAAAACCTGTAAAATCTAGGAAAGTCAGGGAAAAGTGAGGGATTTGTATTGAAGGCCAGGGAATTTTTTTATTTAGAAAAAAAATTACACTGAGCGCAAGTCTCATCTTTCCAAAACCATTCCCGTTCGTCTCCGTAAATTACTCTCGACTCAACGGCCGGTCATGTCAGAAGCCCTTTTCCCCTCCCTCACGCCAAAATACTTCATAAATCACCATGCTCGAGTGCCGTATTTTACGGCGGTCAGTCCGGCTACGGCGGCCAAAAGCCGGACCGTAAAAAAGGGGCCCGTCATAGTTCGCGTCGTCGATCCGTCACGACATTGACGTTTGTCACCGGCGTGCCAAGGCTTTTCCTAAATTTAACCGAATACTTTGTCGTCCTCCTGACGTGCCTACAATCGGCAATGAACCCTATCGTCCATACAATTTAACGCTTTTCCGGGCTCATCTTAGTGTGTAGTTACGCCCTTTTGTCAGTCGGGCGACGACTTCATTATTTTGTGAGGCGCTCAGAAGGGGCGCTAGGGTGCTTCCCCCATGCTTCAGTGCCGCTGCGTACTGGACACAGGTTACTTCAATACTTCGCCACCGACCTTTTTGTTTTTGTCTTCGAAACCGCGTTGTGAAGTTTGATTTTTTGTGTATTTCGGGATGTGGAACTGAGGGTGGTTTCGTTCGATGGAATCTTGCGGTCTTCTGGTTTATCTATTTTCGTATGAAATTTTTTGAAGTCTAATCGCGAAGTTTAAGGCGTTGGATTTCCTACGAAAGCGTCAACGTATACCTTAATGTTGAAGGGAAAGATTCCCTGTGAATTCTGCGATTTCCGCAAGTTTGCTGCGGAGTTATACTTTTGATTTGACGCCTCTGTGATCTCAGGTCAGTGAAGGTGATTTCGGGAATTCTTTCGAACCTTTGAACGATCGGAACCCTAGTAGCAGTGGCTCTTAAAAAAAGTTCTACAAAAAGTTGTCAAAAAAATGTAAAACCCTTGTAAATTTTAAGAGTTCGTAAATTTTTAAGTAAAAAAACTCTTAAAATATACTCGTTTTAGAAAACCCTTTTGGGGAATTCTTTTAAGTAAAAAAATAGGGTTATTTTAATTAAAAGAAAACGTAAAGTTTACGTAAAAATCAATAAACTATATCCTCAATTTTTATGGGCTGCAACTGTTCCTTTTATACTTTTCTGTTCACCACTCTTTTCCCTCGTCTTTGCCGGCAGGAAGCAAAAAAAAATAATTAGGTAAATTTTACTTAAAATTGTTTTTCAAACTTATGTAAAAAAAGCCCCAGAAAGGGTTTCCTTATACGAATATTTCAAGAGTTCTTTTACGTAATTTTCAAGTGGTTTTAAAGCAAATTTTACGAGATCTCTTAAAATTTACGAGTTTTTCACAACTTTTCTCAACAGCCACTGCTACTAGGGAAGAGTCATAGATAGATTGCATTTTGCAATAAGGAACCACAATCTCCGGCTCTTCCATTAAAGCACCTATCTGCATAGGGAAACCGGTGATTCATATGTTTCGACCACTCAATTGTGCGTGAGTTCCAATAAATGACCTTCAGGTCTGCCGCAATCGTTTCCGACCCGCGCAAAGCAGACTGTAATTTTCTCGATCGCAACAATCGGTATGGAACAATTAATCGCTCAATTTTCGTTCACACTCCGCTCACAGTGACGCCGGCGAGAAGTTGATGACGGATACAATTATTTCAGTCGATTATTTTCCATGAGTGTGAGAATGAGCTTTGCTGTGCTCTGATGCTATTACAGCGTTGCAAATATCGCGGAAAAGCGTGTGATCGTGTGAAACGGGCAAAGTCGGGGAAAGTCAGAGGGATTCTGATCGTCCCAAGTAGCATTTTTAACGGAAAAATCGCGATTTTTTTATGATTTTTTAGCGATAAAGTCGCTAGGATCAACATCTGAGCGATTATCCTCGATCTTGTTGCAATTTTATTTTCATAACGTCGCGTTCGATAAAATCGGAATTTTATATCAATTTATCACGATTTTTTGCTCGCTAATATTGGGATAATCGCCGTCGATAAAATCGCGATTATGCGCTGCTCCTTTTGATTACGATTCGCAAAATGTCGCAGGTATCTCAAAAAGCAAGCAATATTTTCGGTAGCTTGATCCATCGATCTATTAGTCATCGATATTATTGTCAAAGGAATACAATAAAGATTAATGAAAGGTACTGCTTGGGCAGGCTTATTTTTATGACCAGCGCTAAAAATACTCGCTGGAAATTTTCAGAGATGCGATTGATTTGTCAGGACATCGCAATGGATTTATTGGCATCGGAATGCATGTCGTAATTTAATTGACCGATAAGTGTGTGTAGGTATGTTCTCAGAATGACAGAAATGATCTCTGAGCACCGCCAACTTTGCCCGCCGAGTAAGAGCAATGGAATCCCCCATTGCTCGGATGAAATCACCCCTTTCGCTGGCTAAAATTACTACCCAAGTAGCATAGATCGCAATAAGTAGCAATTGAAAAGTAAAAATATTGCAATTCCACGGAGTGTTGCAGGGCCAGATTTACCTACTTTCCGCCCGTGGGCCGCCTGTATTTTGCCGACCCCTTCTCATTCGTTTTGAAACATCAATAAAAACCATCAAATGAACGTATGCCAGCGGGGGAGGGGTGCATAAGACGCGTTTACTCGTGTTGGACACATTTTTTTGGGAAAGCCCTGTCAACACTACCAGCAAAAGTTCACGGAACTTTGCGCGAAAGTTAAGTCTCGTAAACCTATCTCTGTGTGGACAAGGCCTTCCATTCATAAGAAATGAACCAAAAAATTATGAAAGAACACACATAAATGTGGATTAACGATTTTAACTTCTGCCGCGTCGCCGTCGCGCAGACCGCACCGTGTTTGGCGCAATGCGTGAAGTATTCCGACAGTCTTGTAGGCGCTATGAGTTTCACGCCGACCGCTGCTGAACGCACTGTGTTTGCCGCAATGCGTGAAGTATTTGTGCATTCATGTAGGGGCTAATATGTGTTACATGCCGATCGCCGCGCCGAGGGTTTCTCCTTTTCATCTCAAGTCCTCGTCATCGTTTCTCTCTAAGTCGCGCCGTTCCAGGCCAAATTGCGTGTTTGGTTTCTCTCCTAACTCGAATAATTAAAGGCGCTGTCTCTTGTATCACTGAAAGACGACAAAAGTAGAAATTACTATACTCTCAGAAAATTAGAGATTTTGTCGCCTTTCCTCTTTTGCAATTTTTTTTTTCTAAATTCAAATTTTCTATACCTACTTTTAAAAAAATTTCAAAATTTGCCGCCCCCTATGGATTTGCCGCCATGGGCCGCGGCCCATGTGGCCACCCTTTAATCCGGCCCTGGGGTGTTGTGTATGTTGCCTAGCTCCTATTTGAAGGGGCCCCATTTATTGAAACTTATTGCAGTAAAATTGAAATAACGTGCTATTTTTCATTGCATTGCAAATTGCCTATCTCTCTGACACGAGGAGCTCATTTTGTTGATTGTTTAAAATCGGCTCATATCGACTAAATGATGTTAAAATATTGCAATTTTATGATACAAAAATTACAATTTTATTGAAATCGATATGCAATTTAATTTAAATATTTTCGTTGTGCTACTAGAGATTTGAAGTGCCAAGGAGATGTGCTTCCTTCTAATACCTTCATTGTACTTCTATACAGCAGACTTTGCTCATCATCATTGCTGAAGTCGAAAAATACCAAGTTATCTTAGATTTGTGACGTTGCACAAATCGTGTTTTTTCAAAATCAAACCAGCCAACAGTTTTCTTTAAATTTTATGTGAATCATTTTATATTTTCATTGTGCATTTGTAATTTTTTTTTTTTTTTTTTTTTTTTTTTTTTTTTTTTTTTTTAAGCGATCCAACCTTTTACTAAATTGTTAATTCTTCCGTGTTACAGGAGCAGAGGTGCTTAAAGTCCAACGAAATGAGCCATGAGGAATCGCAAAACATGAGTTCCGCCAGCGTCAAATTGCAAACTGAGTCGTACAGTGCTGAGAAGGTAATACATGTTTTTTCCTCCTCATACTTACATTACGACAACTGAGTGGCTTGGAGGACAATGCGCATAAGTGCAGTTTTTGCTATTTCGAGAAATATGCGTTTGAAGTTTCGAAATTATTAGGATCCTTGTGGTGGAAATAAAGTTCAAACTGACTGTTTGATGCTTAAAAATTTGAATTTGGAAGCGAATTTTGCACAGAATATGCATTAAGACTAGTTTTACTTGAAATCTGTAATATCTCAATTTTTTCAAAAACCACACTTATGCGCCATGTCTTCCAAGCCCCTCAACTATACAAATGAGACTCAGGTTGTAGTAAATTCTTCCATGGAAATTTGTTTATAAATTTATCAGAATAACTGATGTTCGTTTAATAGGTACTTGCGGTCATTAGTTGTCTCCTATTTTCATGATAGAACCCATTTTCATAAAGATACTCGCTGAACTTCTTAAGAAAACCTATTACAAGCATTGGGTACAGGTCTCATTAAAAGATGGACACACTTTCCTTATGGGTATGATTAGGGTTTTATCAAATTCTAGTGGCCACTTTAATGATCTCAGGTCTCCCTGGCTTCATTAGAAAAATGCAGATATTACGAGCAATAGTATCACCAGCATACTATCTTGACTTCATCACCATTAGAACCTCTAATTCAGGGGTCAGTTCAGTTAAATTTTGAGGAGGAAGGGAGCAAAACCTAAATAATATCTCCTCAGTTGCCTTAAATTTACCAAAATCAGCCCAAAGAGAAAAAAGCTCAACTTTTAATAAAACAGCTTTTTATAGAACTGGAGGAGATTATTTAACGCCGTATCAGTTCGCTTTCAACTTTAAGGGTAGGCAGCTGGAGCTTTCACTTGCCTAGCTCGAATAGTATCATCGTGAATAGTAGTGACAGGCTCTTTTGGGTCAGACACGAATAAGAGCTTTTTACCAAACGGGTGTATTGTGATAATACCTGATCAGCAAGAATCGATAGAAACAGATGAACGCAAAGCGATCGACATCGATTTGATCCAGGAATAGTAGGAAAGCAGGTTTGTTTTTATTTTACGATCAAATTATGTTCATCAAAACATATTGAAATAATGAAGAGAGGAAGTGTAGAAATTATAATTCAGGGCAAAGCATCTGAAGCTAGTGTGATACTTAATCATAAAGTGTTTAACATTGAAAGATGTTCAATGATCACAGAATAACTCCAATAATTCGTATAAATCTCAGAGAACTCATTACAATTTATTTGAAATTCCAGAAAGCCATGGCCTCACAACAGCAAAGGCAGTCTGTCACCTCCACTGGAATTTTCAACAAAGAAAAGCATATAGCTCAGTCGGCACAATCAAATATTACAATTACATCTAAAGGAGTATGCACAAAATCTCTCATGACCTCAGCCTCATCGCAGGTATGTATCTACAAGTTTTACTCAAAGCTACTTTAATTGAAGGATAATAGTCATGTTCGAAAGTTTGCACGAGAAATTCTTATTTTTCTCGTGCAAATTATTTTTCTCGAAATATTTTCTTAATTTTCTACCATCCACTCAAATGAATAATTGATAAAAAATGAGATAATAATTAGAACATGTTACGAGTCACCCAAAGTATTCCTTGATCAAGCATTTTAGTAGCTCTTACATTCTGATAAAATGATTGAGTATCAAAGTTCCATGTATCCAAAACCATTCACAAAAAAGTTCCATTTCCTTATTTTAATATACTTTTTTTGACAGTCAAATTTTTGTTTTACAAATCAGTTTTTTGAAAATAAATATTTTCCATTAAAGAGGCAATTTTGATTAATATGTTAGCCGTCACAAAATAAATAACAATAGAATTAAAGAAAAGAAAAATGAAACCTTAGAAATTAACAAACAGAAACAATAGGAGTCTAATTAACAGCGTTGTATTAGTAAGTATCAACACTTTCTAAACTCTTTCCAGAAAGAAGGTTTTCTGACCTCTGATTAATCAGTTTAGTTTTTCTTATGTCCCTCTGAGGGTTACTGACCTCTTATTTTCCAATTTTGCAGTTGAGTCAGTTAATGAATGGCACAAACAAAACTTTGTCCCTGAAACTTGGAAACACAGAAGAAGAAGTTTTGAATTCCAATTTTGAAGACCTAGAAAGGCTGTGCGCTCCCGGTGCCACTCAACAAGACGTAGAAAAAGCAATCCTGAAGTATTCACTCTGCCTGGACTCATTCATGAAAGGTTTGAGCTCCGGAAAGTATTCCGAGGCAGAAGCACCTCGAACTCTGAACTGCATCAACGAAATGATGCAAAAAGCATGGGCTGTCCCAACTCACGGTCATGAGCTGGGCTACTCTCTCTGTAATACTCTCCGAAATTGCGGTGGACTGGATCTCTTGATGACCAACTGTTCTTCAACAAATGATGACCTGAGGTTCTCCACAGCAAAACTCCTTGAGCAATGCTTGACCACTGAAAACAGAGCTCACGTCGTTGCCAATGGTTTGGAAAAAGTTGTCAAAGCAGCCTGCAGCTGCACGAAGAATACTCACTCAGCTCAGCACTCACGTGTTGGAACAGGTAATTGTTTTTGAAAAAAATTCTAAAGGCTCTTTTCTGTATTGCATGAGGACGTACTTCTTTACTTTTTTGCTTCCCTTATGGGTAGAGAAAAAAGTATCATTTAAAAAAAAAAAAATGCCCAAATTGGTATCCGAAAACGGATATTGCTCTGATGTATGTTCATTGATCTCATTGGAAAGAGGTAGGAATATGAATCCAGTAATTTAAAAACTTCAAATTGTTGTGGAATCAACTGTAGTTCATTTATTGCGCAAAGAACATCATTTTCTAATTTCTTTTTTAGAAATGCTGTTTTCAAATTTCATCTAATGTAGTTAAAAATATTTTAAAAGTGCATTTAGTCCGTCTATTTCAAAAGAATGTTTTTTGCTATAATAATTAATCAAAATGTTTCCAAAAAAATTCCCCACTGTAACAGAGGGTCAAAATCATATTTTACCCTTTTTGTTGCTTCATTTTTCAGGGATTCTCGAACATTTGTTCAAGCACAGTGAAGGTGCTTGCAGTGACCTCATTGACCTAGGAGGTTTGGACACAGTACTTTTCGAGTGTAGAAAAAGTGACATTGAAACATTGCGACATTGTGCTGGTGCCCTCGCAAACCTGTCTCTATATGGTGGTGCTGACAACCAAGAAGCAATGATCCAGCGAAAAGCCCCCATGTGGCTGTTCCCTCTCGCCTTCAACAACGACGATCACATCAAATACTATGCATGCTTGGCTATTACCATTCTGGTGGCTAATAAAGAAATTGAAGCAGCTGTGCTCCAGTCGGGAACTCTGGATTTGGTTGAACCATTTGTTACGTCACATTCACCCTCGGAGTTTGCTAAGTCCAACGAAGCTCACGCTCATGGGCAAAGTAAAAACTGGTTGCAAAAATTAGTTCCCGTTCTCAACTCCAAACGAGAGGAAGCACGGAACTTGGCCGCATTCCACTTTTGCATGGAGGCTGGCATCAAGAAACAGCAAGGGAAGTCCGATCTGTTCCGTGAGATTGGAGCAATTGAACCGTTGAAGAAGGTGGCGAGTTGTCCTAATGCAATTGCTTCTAAATTTGCGGCCCAGGCTTTGCGGTTGATGGGTGAGGAAGTTCCACATAAGTTGAGTCAGCAGGTTCCTCTATGGTCGATTGAGGATGTACGCGAGTGGGTCAAGCAGGTAAATAGAATCTTTTCATGAGGTTAATTGCTTTATTTAGATCTTCAATTTTCAGCAGTAGAAATTTGACCAACAAAAAGTTAAAGAACTTGAACCCACTGAGACAAATATTTTAGGAATTAATTTTTGGACGAAAAAATCACAATTATTTCAGTTATCATCAGAAGATATGATTCTTTAGTAACCCATAGAATAAATTTTGAACAGCTCAGTTCTATTTTAAGCTGATGAAAGGCTAAGTACTATTACAATTCGACATTTTTCTAAACATGGAGTATTAAACATTTTGACAGTTTTTTCTTGAAACCAAGTTTTTTGAACTGCTAACTTCATACTGTCATACCTCTGGTTTGATTTGATATTTATAAGCTTTTGTCACGCAAAAATATTTGTCAAGCAATCCACTGAGCCGCAGTGAAATATCAATTTCATTTGATTTTTCAATGTTTTCCTAGTTAATTTCTGATGTTTTCTTCCAGATTGGCTTCCCAGAGTTTGCAGCTAATTTTGTAGAAAGTCGAGTTGATGGTGATTTGCTACTTCAATTAACCGAAGAAAATCTGAAGTATGACATTGGAATAAAAAATGGACTCAGGCTCAAAGGGTAATTTTTGTCAACATTCTTCTCTGATTCGTTCTTTCTTTTTTTTGCAGGAATGTTAAATCATTAATTTTTAAAGTATAACATAATTTACCAGACGAAACCTTAGTTTGAGTCGAATTCATTTTATAAGGGCTTTTAAAATTCACTGAATTCCGTAGAACCAGCAAAATCTTTAAAAACTTTGCATACGAGCTCATTTTTTTCAAAGTGCTTGTATCCAAAGGTAGTATTTAAAAGATACTTCTAATATTTTCTTTGTTTTTACCTCGAACATCCTTTAGGGGTAATTCGGCCCCTACTGCCCCATCCCTACTCACGATCAGACTAAACTCCACCACCAGCCCAAGGCACTACTGATTGAAGTCATTAAACGTGGGTTACTCAGTTGAGAATTAAATACAGGATCTGTTAAAATACATCTGTATCACAAATACATCATGTATCTGTACGAATACAGTATACTGCCATGCCAAGGAAGAACGCTGCATGAACATTTGAGAGTTGCCAAATTTCTTCTTCAAAAATAAATATTTTTGAAGAAAGATATGAATATTTTTCCTTCAAATTCTCAAACTTTTTAGATCAAACTACGAACGAAATTCTGTGGAAGATTTTTTGGGCAAATGACGTTTCAGATTTATTTCTTTTATTTTGGTTTTTTTAATTTAAACACTCGACAATTCTTTCTTTGCTTGAAGTTTGTTTGAGTTACTTTATGCAAGTAATTAGTGTTTAAGAGCCTAACTCATGTTGATTTTAAATGTTACAGATTCATGCGAGAAATGAACAACTTGAAAACAATGGCAGATTACAGTAGTAGGGACCCGACAAGGCTCAATGATTTACTGCAAAATATCGGGCCACTCTATGGATCCATGTCAATTTATGCTTACTCAATGTTAACAGCAGGTGTAGACAAAGACTCATTAAGGTTTGTTCCTTACTTGGCCATCAGTATTTAAATTTAAGGCTAAATCTCAAAAGTCCAAGGCTTACTTAAGTTAAACTTTCAAGTTTTGAAATTTTTCTACAGTGATCCTAAATTTTCTCTCTTTAGAAAGGAAAAAAAGTAGCAAGAATCTAGTCACATCTAATGTGACTTCATTATTTCTCTAAATTAAAGACCTGTGTTTACTGTTTACAGTCCTCTTGGACCCTTACAATCTTTCAATGTCCTTCTTCAGTAGATTTTATCGTAAACATTTTTCCTCACAGTTTTGTGCCTATAATTTGAAATTTTGTCTTCTAATAAATAATCCAGATCTCAAGAAATCTTAGAAATAATCTAGTCACATAATGTTACTTCATTATTTCTCTAAATTAAAGACCTTTCTTTACAGTTTATAGTCCTCTTGAACACTTTCAATCTTTCAATTTTCTGCTTTAGTGGATTTTATCGTAAAAATTTTTTCTCATAGTTTTGTGTTCATAATTTGGAATTTTGTCTTCTCATACATTAATGTAAGGTTTTAATTTGAAGCAAACAGTTTAATTCAACTGATATAATTAGTGAAGTCATTTTGTAATCAAGTATTTTGTTTTTGTATCAGTGAAAAATTCAGACTCAGTCTGATAAAAAATTCATCATTGAACTTCAGTTACTGCGTTATTTCTTACTTTACGTTTTCATTTTTCACAGAAATTTAACAGAGGAACAATTGCAGCAGGAGTGTGGAATAGAAAACAGTATTCATCGAGGCAGAATCATGGAAGCTATAAGTGGAAGTGAGTTTTTAAAAAGTTAATTTTCTAATCTCTTTTTCAGAAAATATTGTTTGTGTAACTGTGTAATATTGTATTTACCCCTTCAAAACTTAAAAATTTTCTCTCTCCTGGAAAAGCTTTACAGACCAAAAGAGACATAGACATATCATCTATTTGAGGCCAAAGAAGAGGCGACGTAGTGCCAGGAATTGGATTTTTTTAATCCCTTTCCCTCTTGAAATGCTTGTGTAACACAGGTCTACACTGCTACAAAAAAATTCCCATGTTTTATTTGACCCTTCTCCCCTCGAATTAGCATCTTGTGTGCATTTTGTAACTACTTGATTTGGAATTGTGATAATTAACATTTTATGGTCTTTTCCATTTCTTCCAGTGATCAAAGACACACTGGTCTGTTCCTCCGAAAGTGTCGTTGACAAACCTCTAGATGTCTTCATAAGTTACCGGAGATCAAATGGTTCACAGTTAGCAAGGTATGTTAGAATACTCACCATGATTCTTTCAGAAAAACACTTTATTTCATTTTGAAATTCACAAGTCTTCATTTATTAGTCTCTCCACTTTCTTCTAATTGTATTGTCATTTTTTATTGACGTTTTTCCTTAAAATTCATAATTTACATTATTTACTTCTTTTTGTCTATTTTTCAAGTTACGGTCTCTATATATCCAAGTCTAAAGTTGAGAAATCCACTGCAACACTTTAAAATCTCTGATCGTGTTTTATTTTTTAAAGAGGAAACCAAAATGTCTCCTCGAAATTTTCTGTAAATATGTTGGAATCAAAGAGGAAAATTCTTTGAAAATTAGAATAGAGCTTTTGAAAAATAATAATTGAGCAGTATTTTGCCATGTCTCGATGCAGATATGCTTTTTTAGACTTCAACCATCAATAGCAGAGAAGTATGTAGAGGGGTCTTAATCTAATCAATCTTAGACCTAAATATCTTCAACACCTTTGGATTCATTGCTGCTCAAAAATGCTATATTTCTATCAAAACTTTCAGAACAGTTTATATCTATATTATGTCTAATTAGGAGCCATCCATCCAGTGAAATGTATACTATGAATGGGGAGGAATAATCATCGGTTTAATTATATTTCGTTTTTTTCTTTCAGTTTATTAAAAGTCCACTTACAAGTCAGAAACTTCACAGCATTTATCGATGTTGAGAAACTAGAAGCTGGCAAATTCGACAATAATCTCCTCAATAGTATTAGGCAAGCTCGCCATTTCCTATTAATATTAACGCCCAACGCGCTGCATAGGTGCATTGGTGATACAGAGTGCAAGGATTGGGTTCACAAAGTAAGTCTCATATTTATTTTTGTTAATTTCTTTAAGTAACTTCTGATTAAGAAACGAAAAGACCCATATTGTCCATATTGTATAAAAGACGGAATTGAAATAAAAGACACGCCTGAACACACATTTTTCACTTGTAACAACGTAAGACAAAAGAAAGAAGAACTGGAAAAAACACTAAACATACCAACTCTAACTCCAGATAATCTAATACCAACCATGCTAGATTCTAGCAAAAAATGGACACTAATACATGCATACGTCAAGAACACACTACAGGGAAAACAACATGCACTTAATCAAGAAAAGGATGACGATAGTTGCCAACCCTCCTCCTCACCCGAAGACAGGCCACCCCAAGGCAATTCCGGGACAAACAAAAACAACTAAAGCGAAAAGAAGACAGAGGATCTTCGAGAAACCAATTAGAACTTAAGTAACTAGACAATAAGCTTCCATGGAACAGGGGGGAATAATCAAAAAAATTGTAAATAGGATCTTTAAAAACTAATAATATGTAAACTTAGGCCTTCAGGTGATACCCTGTAACGTATCATTCTACTCTGTCATTTAACAAATAAAATAATTGTTTGGAAAAAAAAAAAAAAAAACTTCTGATTGGATGAGTATACAGTTGATCCGAATAAACCAACANGAAATGTATACTATGAATGGGGAGAAATAATCATCGGTTTAATTATAATTCGTTTTTTCGTTTTTTTCTTTCAGTTTATTAAAAGTCCACTTACAAGTCAGAAACTTCACAGCATTTATCGATGTTGAGAAACTAGAAGCTGGCAAATTCGACAATAATCTCCTCAATAGTATTAGGCAAGCTCGCCATTTCCTATTAATATTAACGCCCAACGCGCTTCATAGGTGCATTGGTGATACAGAGTGCAAGGATTGGGTTCACAAAGTAAGTCTCATATTTATTTTTGTTAATTTCTTTAAGTAACTTCTGATTGGATGAGTATACAGTTGATCCAAATAAACCAACAAAACAAAATTTACAAAGGAAGGTCAGTTTTATGATTTCAGATGAAAAAGAGGAACTAAATAAAAGTTAACACAGTGACTCAATGTTTCGTACAAACAAGACAATGTGTTGTGCAGACAATTTTCAATCTTTTTTAAATTAAAATTACTCATAGGCTTTTTCATTTAGATACATAATATCTTATTTTCCAACTGGTGGCAGAGATCAAGTTTTTAGTTTCAGGAAAAAAAGAAACAACAAAATTCTTTAAGGTGATTCGATGGACGCCATATTTTGTGTCAGAACGGCATGCGACATATCGCATCAATTGGTTCCGTTTTTCAGCTACTTGTCATTTTTCTCCAATTTTGAGATCGCAATTCTGTTGTCAGGAGACTAGAGCACTTATTTACCAATTTTAACAAAGAAATTCAACGTAATAAAGGCGTGGTTTTTTTAGAGGGAAAATATCGCATTCGAGTGCAGTTTCAATATCAGTATCGAATGCGATGTTTTCTCTCTGAAAAAACTACGCCTTTATTACTTTGAATTTCTTTGTTAAAATTGGTAAGTGAGTGCTTTAGTCTCCTGACAACAGAATTGCAATCTCAAAATTGGAGAAAAATGACGAGTAGCTGAAAAAATGGAACCAATTGATGCGATATATCGCATGCCGTTCTAATACAAAATATGGCGTCCATCGAATCACCTTAAGTACCACTTAATCAGAAGGAAATCATTTCAAAATTTACAAAATTAAATTTGAAAGTTCATAAATAACCTCTAGAAGATGTATGATTTGCATCAATTCAAGAACTAAAATTTTTCAGGGCAAGAAACTCCGACTAACATTTCTTTAGTGTCCAGTTTTATTTTCTAAAATTTTTGTTCGTTTATTTTCTCCCAAAAATAATATTGAGCATCAGTTATAAAGGAAATCTGTGTGTTTTGCAGGAAATAGTGGCAGCTTTAAACTCTCAATGTAATATCATTCCCATCACCGATACAAATTTTGTGTGGCCTCAGCCAGAAGAACTACCTGAAGATATGCGAGCAATTTGTCACTTCAATGGTGTTAGGTGAGTATCCAATATTTGCCTGGAATTTTCTTGCAAAATCTAGTTTAAATTACGTCTAGTTAATTTATCTTACTTGTATGATGTGCATCCTTTTTTATGAGTATATCAATGGCCAAAGTGTGAAACTATGTGTATCCGTATGCGATGTTGCAGACTTCTTGTCATACTTTTTTTTGGAAAACTAGAAACCAGGGACTGTAATTTCTGAAGAACTTCATCAATTTTTCTTCTCTGTTGGCAGAGTATTCTGTATAAATTTCAATCTATAAACATGGCTTGTCTCTCTTCAAAAAAATACAATAGTAGTGAAAATTTTGAAACACTGTAATGGAAATACATGATTTTGAACTTTGGCCATTAATATGTAACCTTCTTTGGGAAAACTGGACCTTTGTGCAGAATCACTCAAAATTGAGGTATTTGAACCATCACCAAGAGTGGTGTTTCACGGAAATTTAAGCACACAAGATACCCAGAAATGTCAAACCTAATTGGGCCACGGTTTGAAATTGAAACCTGGATCTGTAGTACAAATACGTCAATAGCATTGCATTTTGAATCTTTTAATGAAATTTAACGAGAATGTCATACAGCATTAAACCTCCCTTTTAAATTAACATTTGTCTTTTTTTCCGCAGGTGGATTCATGATTACCAAGATGCCTGCGTTGACAAATTAGTTCGTTTTATGCAAGGAGAAATCTCAACACGAGGGAATAGCGTCTCCTCTTTCAAAGGTGACCCGTCCACTCCGGGCACACCTCACGGCATGATGAGATCGCCACCGTCCTATAGGCGAATGCAGTCCAGTGATAGTGGGAAAAGCAGCGATAAAGATAGTGGGGGAAAAGATTGACTAGATGTGCGTGGGAGGTATGTATCTCTCATGAATGTATATATGAGGGGCTTGGAGGACAAGACATAAAAGTGCGGTTCTTGAAACAATTGAGTTATTAATGATTTCTAGTGAAACGACCCTTAATGTGAAATATTCGCGCCCACATTCCAATTTTTAAGCATCAAAAAGTTTGTTTGAACTTTCTTTCCCCCTTAAACATCCATGTTATTTCGAAACTTCAAACACGTATTTTTCAAAATAGCAAATACTGCACTTATGTGCCTTGTCCTCCAAGCCCCTTATATATCTTCTTCGAAACTCAATTTTTTGTATTCAAAATTCAATTATGTGTGTAATTTAAATTTTATGGAAAACGGATCATCCTTCCCAAGAGGTCATTCTCTGTGAGTTAAAGAGTATGTCTTCAGAGTTTTGATTATCAAATTAGCTGTATAAAATAATTTGGAAGAACATATATTTCGAGATCAAGTTTACATATAACATATCTATGACCAAATTATGGAACTACGTATCTCGGTTTGCGACTCTGCAGACTTCTTGTCATACATTATTCTCTCTTTCGAAAACTAGCCAATGTAATTTCTTGAAAACTTCTTCGATTTTTCTTTTCTATCAGCAGAATATGGACGGTGAAACTACCAAACCACGTATCTCGGTTTGCGACGTCGCAGACTTCCTGTCATACTTTATTTTTTAAATGAAAAACTACTTAACATCCAGTCTTGAAAATTTCTGTGATTTTTTCTCTTTGTGCGGAGAAAATTCCGTGAAAATTTCAAGGAATGATATTGATTTGGTCTACTTCAAAAAAATAAAATGTGAGCGTAGATTTTTAAACACCGCAAACGAGATACGTGGTCTGGTAGTTTCACCGTCGATATTCTGTATCAATTACATGCAATAATGTTGCCTTGTCTTTTTTCAAAGAAATGAAATCAACATTTCAATTGTTCTTTCATCACCTCTTAACTTAAGTTCGTGTTGCAAAATTTATGTCTAATGGGGACTGGTTTTTTTTCAGACGGCGGAAGTCTTTCGGTCAAATGAATAGCCTGCCCCGGCCTCCTCCAAGTCAAAAGGTCAACAGACTGATATCTCCAGCATCTCGAACTCGCGGCACCGATGGCTTGGGAACACCTCTCAGCTCCTCGCTGCCTCCAGTTCCGCCAATGCCCTTGCCCAAAGAAAATACTTGTGTAAATAGTGACAACGTCGACAGCGTCTCGGAGAACTCAGCCGACGCTAACCGAAAGCAAAATTTAATGGATAGGTGTGTCAATAAATTTAAAAACCTTGTCAAAAAATAACCGCCTGTGCAACTTATAATTTTAAATGGATGCACCTGTGATAATATAGAGCAAAGAGCGTCTGAGTTGAAATGGGTTTAAATACTCTAAAAAGATAGAGATAAGAGATTCTTTTTTGTAACACTAAAATTTCTCAGAAGAGATTGTAGCTGATCAAATCTCGGTCTTGTTCACATAAATCCAAACTCAAATTCTCTTTGCTCTAATCGTTTTTAACTCCAGATTGCAATTTATACATTTGATGAATATGACACAGCAAACTATGTATCATGACTTTTTCCTGTTTTTTTTCCAAAAACTTGTGTATGAGACACAAAAGCCTTGTTTTACTTTTTATTCTTTGATAGTGAAAGGGGTCTCCCATTTGAACGAACTCTGTTAAAAGTTGTCCAGAATAATTTTTCCAGATTTTATGTGAAAATTTCCGCCAAGGAAAATGTATCCTATCTGTATTACTATATTTTAACTATACAGTAGGCAAATTTCTGGTGTTCCTGCATGACCTAAGTTTCAGTTTTTTGAATACCTTGCCTTTACTATGTATTCTCGTGAAATTAGTTTCATTAAAGAAAAATTCAGTTCTCAAATTTACCAAATTATCAAATGAGAGTTGCACTAATGTTGCACAGATGCCAAGGTTCATTGATTAACAGTTTGAGAATTTCAGCTTCTCAGCCGTCTATGAAAATTAAATCTGAGTCATTCTGGATTTTTCGTTCTCTTTTTTGGTTGTGTTATTTATTTATTTTTAATCATTGACGTTATTTCTTAGTTTATGTTTGTATTTTTCTTATATGGTAGGTAAGTAACTTTTCCCAACTGTGATAATTCAAGTGCATCGTGTTGACGCGAAAAATATTTCACTATGTAAATAAATCTGTATCGTCATTCAGTTTGATACTAGAACGTCGTTACTTTACGGTATGTTTTTCAAAAGGCCCCAAGTTGAAGTCAGTTATAAACTGTTCTTGGTAGCTTGCTTTTTTTGTGACATTTTTTCTCTATCTTCTTTCAAAGAACAAAGTTCTTTTTCTCTCCCTCGACCTTTAGAAAAAAGGACTTTTTCTCTATCGAATTTTGTTGTCATTTTTGACCTAAGGCTAAAAATCTCGACCTGTGTGCTGTGTCATTAATTTTCTTATTTGCATAACATTTTTACGTAATAAAAATTTTTTGAAGAAGGCGATCTGATAAGAACATAGTTCTCTACGTATTTTGCACTGACTCTTAGTATTGGTAGGTATGACCGCCCACTTTTGAGTCTTTGCGTTTAGTTCTTGAGTTTTATTATTCTCCTCCAAGTGTGCTTTCGAGAAACTATTTCCAGTATTGGACACGGTGTTTTGGGTCAATAGTATGAATTTATTTTTGATAGCTAATCAAACTTGATTGGAATGAAGATAATTCAAAAGTATTGATAGAAACAAAGCTTAAAACACTCGTCCCCAATTATTAGCTCCAAAATTGGAATTAGTCCTCATTTGCTGCTTTTGTGTCTTGATTGATTTTGTCGATCTTTGAGTATTTTTTTTTTAAAAAAAACCAAGGTATTTCTGTACCTCTTTGTAAATATTTCATCTTTTTTCAGGCTTATTTTTCTAAACACTGTTAAGTATCAGATTCATACCAATATTTGTGAAATTTGTTTAATTACCTTTATTTTAAGGAGCCTCACACTGACTTTATGAGATTCAAATCCAGTAACTGTAATTCAATTTTTAAGTCCACTCAAAAATCAACCTATTACTTCTATTATCATATTATAAGCACACTTTTTTCATACAAGAACCTGATTCAAGAGTATTCTTTGTTAATTTTTTGAATAAAAATGAGCGTCTGATTGAAATATAAAGTTGTTCTTATTCCTCTGAAAAATCAAGAAGCATCATTATGACAACCCTTTGATAGTCCATTCCGTCTTAGATTCAGCAGCGCAATTCCCTAATTTCTCTCGGTTATCAACATGGTATCTAAACCAGGAAAATTAGGGTCTCATCTGGGAATGAAAAATTTTAGGGAAAGTCGGGGAATCTGTTCCAAAAACATTGCTCTTCTTCTAACGTTCAGAGACTAATCTCTCCTCTATACTCCAGAGACTACTTGGTCCATACCCATGGGGTCAGGAGTCCTCTAAGCTCAATTCTAATTTTCAAAATTTTGGTGCTACTAAATGTTTGGAACAGATTAATGCAAATATCTCCTACACTATTGGTCGAAGGGAAAAACAGCAAACCTACCGGCCCTCCTGAATTTCTGGAACTACACTGGCACCCTCTATAGGTCCATAGGGTTAGGGGCCCTCTAGGCCCAATTTTCATTTTCAAAATTTAGGTGCTAGTCAATTTTTCATCATGATGAAAATTGATTGATTTTTGAAATAGAAAAAAAATGCAAATATCTCCTAAATCATTAGATGTAGAGTAAAACGGACGAAATATTTTAGCTTCTCTAGACTCCTAAGAGGGAACTTCTTACCATGCATGAAAAAACTTGCAAAACAAATAAATGAATTGTAAATCTAAATTCAAAGAGTCCAGAAGGTATCTTCAAATTTTTTTGTTAAAGTTTCAGTGTAAGCTCGATGTTGAGATCTATAGCGCTGTATTGGGATCAAGCAAAAAATCTACATACTTGCTGAAGTTATGGACTGTCAGACTGCAAGAAAAGATGTGAGCAAAAATAACACTAAAGGCTGAGAGAGGAGACATTTTTATTTTATTTTAAAAACAATCTATAGGTAAATACATAAAGCATTCTATACATGGTTTACTTTCAGTACTTCTTATTGACACTACACATTTTATTGTATTGGTTTATCCCATTTTTATTCTTTTTTTTTGTTTACTTTTATGTTACACAGTTCAATTCTGGTGAAGTCCTTACGGAGTAGTCAGACAATATCACAAACTACTCTAACAATGAATGGCTGACATATTTACACTTATATACAATTAAAAACAGAAAAAATTACTAAAAATGAGAGAAATGGACCTGATGATGGATTAACTGGGTGTTATTTTTAAAAAAAAATGACGACTTCAGAGGCAAAATATGTTAATTTCAGGTTTACTTTGGCTCGCAGTGTATGACAGGTCCATAAATGGGTGATCTTGGAGTAAGAAACGTCGACACTGGTATCGTGAATACAAAAAAAAAAATGAAATAGGTGCAGGTAAGGGGTTTGGGACGTATTATACATGTTTCATTATTTACACGGGTTTAATTACAACATAATATTTAAAAATAGATCACAAACTATGAACAGATTACTTTGAGGTTACGGAATTCTTAGGGGGAAAACAAAAGTTCTTCTGACCTTTAATCTTTGACTCGAGAAAAAACAAGACCACCTGCTAAGTATTACACATCTTTTCTCCTCGGTAAATTTTGCAATTCAGTAGCGTTTATAAAAATATAGTCGCCCTGTGATCTAACAACTTAGGTTCCTGTAGTAAAATTACGCAGCAATTGTTTACAGAAAGAAGTAGATGCATTACAATAAAGTTTCAAATACTTTACAGCTCGTCTCAAATTGGGTAAATAACTCAATAGATATACTCTCAAAAACTAGTTAAACACAGGTTAAACCAAAAATAAAAATTTGGACATAGAAAATAAACTTGAAGTACCTACTTTGTTATTAACTTCAAAATACAAAAATAAATGTGAGCTGTAAAGTTGAAACAAAAAGAAACATATTGAACAACTACAAGGTTCCTTGTTTTCCAAAAAAAAAAAAATGAAGATTAGAATGTGTTAATTTGTTCAGAGAGATGATGTAAACAATAGCAAAAATGCAGGAATAATTTTAAAATATACTGTGAGTAGATCAATAGTCGAATTGCTGGGAAAAGTTTTTAATGATTGCATTTGAGGATAGTTTTTTAGGGAAGAGCTATCTGTCATACATATTTAAGGTATCCAACAGATTGTAGAAGATTCAAAACAGAAGTGTCACCAAATGGTCAAAAGCAACTGGCAGAACTTGTCACATAAGGATTGGGGTATTTTTCAGTTCAAACTTACACGATTACAAGGGTAAACTGCTTTACATATCAACTTTTAAACTGATGCCAAAGCTGTGGAAATGAATCAGTCATTTTTTTAATGTCATGCTACAGGAGAAGAGCAAAATATGGAGGATTTTAGCTAAAATGAATCGAGTTAATTCGGTTATGTTTTTGAGGACCAATTCTAGCAAAAATCTGCTCTCACAAATTACAGTTTTCTAGATGTACTTTTTTTTTAATATGCTTTGAATGTATCATAAAAAGACAGGAACTTATGAGCAATTTTGTACATGCTGATTAATACAGAGCAAGAAATGGGCTTTCATTGTCAGAGCACAACGAAAATATTCTACTGTGGGAGAAATGCTCCAACCAAAACCATCGGCAGAATTTTGCAGTATTAATAGCTCCGTAGGTCTCTTTCTAAATGTTTTAAACAATCTGAGAAAGCGTTTAAGTTTTACACATGTGACTCAATTATACACTGTTTTTACACTCAGACACTGATACATGAGCTTGGTGCTTGTTGGAGCCTAGGTCGATCTCTAGTTTCAAACTCTATCGAAGAACTAGATATTCTCAGTTTCCGGGAAAAAAATAAAAAAGAACCTTCCACTTTGCTAAACCTTACAGTAAAATTCATTTTCACCAAATTCTAGCAGGAGAATCCGGAAGCAAAATTTCTCTGTTATACTTCGGTTGCAGTGAAGCGTAACTTGGAGACTTTATAATCTTCGAAGTTAAACGCATTTTGCAGCTTTTTTACTTACTTATTTATTTATATGGGCTATTGTTCAGTTTTTTTAGAAAGTTGTGAGTCCATTAGCAACAGTACAGTTCATTTTGGTGCACACAAGATGACTTACAGCTTTATTAATATGAAAATGCGACAACCAGAGAAGAGAGCATTTCACTGATCGCTATCTATTTGGAACTAATAATTAAACAGAATCGAATAAATCAGTTCCCTGCAGCTGACATTTAAAGTAAGTAAAAATATACGAAAATTCTTTTCAACTTTTATAGCAGAGAGAGAATCTTTTGTATTCATGTGGAGCGATCTAGAAAATTGTTTGCTATTTGTCAGGTGGACTGTCAGATTTATTTCGTAATTATATAAAAATCGGGAAAATGCTCTATTTTAGAATTTTTCAGGCTCAACAATTGAGATAGAGGAAGACTTGGACTATGACGATAGAGGTAATTTGCTGCCAAAGAGTTTGAATATTTGATTCTGAAATAGGTTCACACAGAATGATCCTAGATACATACAAGCTCAATATCTCCATTTACAATATGGTATAAGATATTATAGCGACATCAAACATCAAAACTTAATATTAACAACTCAAACACAAATCCTGGGGGATAGAAGCACTTAATTTGTTTTTCATGAGGAGATACAAAAATGTATGATGTTTGCAGTCAAATAATATGTAGTAGACTCTTAATTCCTGGCATTTGTGTGGTTATTTGGCATTGATGGCTAATTGAAAAAATGCATATCTCAGATAGGATACTGTAAGTTTACATTCATGTTTTAATCTTTCAAGGGAAAATCAGCCACCGGTTCTCATTTAAAGTTTCAGTGACTTTTCTTCACTTATTCTAAAATAAAAAAAAATAAAAAAAAAAAAAACACAAAAATTTGTGAGGAAACATTGTGACTAATGTTCCTTTGAAAAAAATAAAACATAATAGAGATTTTTATACATTGCAATTGAGGGACACATTTTTGACATTTTGCAACCGTTCTGTAGTGAAAAATCTAAAATTGATATATTGGTTAGCATAATGCGGCATTATTACATGTCTTCTTATCATGACAATTGGCAGTTTATGAATATTTACGATATCAACTAAGGTATTGAATCTTACCCTCTTCAACACTGCATTTAAAGAGCAACAAAATGAAGCTTATATGAGATGAATGCATGTGGTTCGTTTAATAGGATTTAACGAAGTTGATTGAGTATAATGCCAACTTAAAGTCCTGGACCTTATGGTTTGGTAAGAGGACACATAGTTTTTGAGCTCAGAAAACAATGAGATCCAGAAAAAAACCGATTAAGTGAAAAAGTAGTCACATTTTTTACTCATGATTAAAAACCCACGAATTACTGAAAATGCCCAGAGTATCAAGTTACAATGAGCACTTTATGAAATGATAACAACTCGAAATGGTAAACAAGTAAAACAACACTGGTGATGAGTGCAGTTACAGATGGGGTCAAAAAAATTTAGTACGATAAATTCTTCTTTTTGCGACAGTCAGGACAAAACCACTGTCCTTTCGGTGGCACCATGATACCGACGCATTCGAAATGGAACCATTCAATTCTGCAGTCATTACCATCACATGCAATCATTTCTGAGACTTCGTCATAAGGGCATTGACAGTAACAATATAGGTTTGAATTTTTCTCTCCAGATGGCTGAGTAGCAGGCGGCATCGGTGGAAAAGAAGCCTGCGCCTGCGGTGGTTCGGGGAACTTTTCATCGATATTTAGCTTATCATCATCGCTATCCGATGATGAGGATGGAGTTGGAGGCCTGTGCCGAACTGGTGGAAGTGTACTGCGAACAACATTCGATACTGGTGGCAACACAGGTTTAATCGTTATTGTTGGTTGGTGCGACTGATAAGGTTGGTAAGATGACATAGAGGGAGGCTGTATTGGGAAAGAAACATTGAAAGGGTTAGGCCTAGTCAATGTGGGCTCAGACTTTCGCATGGCCACAACTTTTTTGTGTTTTTTAGGCCTGAATCGGGGCTTGCTATTTTCTGTTTGGTTTTCTTCTTCACTTGAATAGCCGTAGAATTTATTTTTCACTCGCCTGCGCTTGGATGATCTTTTGCTCTCTGATTCCGACCCACTTCCACCGGTGCTCAACGTTCGATCTGAAAAATGCTCTGATGTTGGGGTTTGAGGAACACTATAGTTTCTAGCATTCGGATTTGGTAGTTTTGTGATTAGCGGCGGTGTCGCAGGTAATTGTGATAATTTTGATTCTAATGTTGGAGCATCAGGAGGCATGCTAGTTGGGAGTAAAGCTTCATTTCGTTTCCGTTTGGTTTTCAGTTTCTTTTTTAGCTTTGGCGATGCTACCGGTTGCGGTGTCGCGGGCGCTTCTTCAGCTGATACCATGGGTGATGAAGGCGCAGTATGAGTTGGGGCAACTGACGCCAGAAGCATCAACTGGTCTTTTTCTGACTGCTGTTTCTCTGCAAGCATTTTATTAGCATGCTGCTGTGGGTACTCATCATAGAAGTCTTCATCAGTTAAGGTAATATCAGTATCAAGATCGGACTCCATGATATAGGGTTCTTCATTCTCTACAGAAATTGCTGGCTCCGCTTGGGTGTCGATTTTGGGTGACTTTGTTTTGCCCCTTTCTCGCCTTTTCTGGCGCCGCTCTTCTTGCTTTCGTCTGTTTTCTGGACTCGAACTGTCAGAATCTGAGCTTGTAGAGGTTGAGCTGTCAGAACTGGAGCTAGAGCAGCTGCAGTTGGGACCGCACGAACAACTGCTCGAGTCTGTATCGCTACTTGAGGAACTACTTGAAGAATTACTGCTCTTGTTCAGTTTTTTCTTCGGTGACTTTGACTTCCGTTTGGTTGGCGAGGAATCAGATGCTGAGGTTTCTTTGGTATCCAGTGTTGAATTCAAGGATGCATTCATATCAATGCTGGTTTCAGGTTTGATTTCTTTATTCTCAGAACCCTCTGGCTCGCTTGACTTGGGTTTGCAGTAATCATGGTCTGCCATAATTACGTCCAACCACTTACTGGCTGTTTCTTCAGCATTGGACTCTTTCTTATCTTCTGTTTCTTCAGCATTGGGCTCTTTCCTCTCTTCGGTTTCTTCAACATTGGGCTCTTTCTTCTCTTCGGTTTCTTCAACATTGGACTCTTTCTTCTCTTCTGTTTCTGCGAGTATGTTTTCTTTCATATCACTCGGTTCTTCAGGTTTACCCTCAATTTCAGATTTGACCTCCACTGTCTCCAGAGGCATGGTAGATTTCGGTAGCTCAGGCTCTGAGTCACTTTCTGACGATAAGTTTAATGGAGGTAAATCTGTTAGGTCAAGCATTGGCTTTTTCTTCTTAGTTTTGTTTTTCTTTATTCGCACTACAGGCACAGTATCGTCATCAACATCAATGTTCTGCTTTTCATCAGTTTTTTGAATTTGAATAGGGGGATTAGTTAAACCTAGACTTTCTGCAACTGCTGGATCGTACTCTTTTTTCTCGACCTCCGTTCCAGAGCCACCCTCTTCTTTACTAGAATGGGAGATCTCATGCTTTTCCAGAATCTTCTTGGATATGAACTTTTCTTCACATTGCGTGCATGCGTGGGGTTTTTCATTTGAATGCAACCTCTTGTGAACCCTCAAAGCTACAGTGCGTGTGAATGTTGCGTTACATTCATCACAAACGACTGTGGCAGGAGGAATACAAAAATGGTAAACATGAGGCCATTTCTTCTGTAAACACTTCTTACAAAGAACACTTTCAGTGCCATGTTTCCAGAATAAATGACGCGTTATATCTGGCTTGTTCCGATATGCGATCCCACACCGATAACACAGATGATGGAGTTTGTGTTTCCACATGTGAGTGGCCAGTTTCTGCTGGTCTGTTGAAACATCTAAGCAAATTTCACATGTATGGTGAGATTTGCGGATATGTACCATGAGTCTAAAAGCAGAAGGGATTTTGTCAATATTGCAGAAACAACACCTGAATAAGATGTCATTAGGTTGGTAAGTCCCTGGACACATGTGACAAAGTAATTCTGAATAAGAGTAGAAATTTGACTTGCACATGACACAGAGCAAAATTGTTTTCTGGTGCATTTTACGCTTGTGAGTGTACAGATCTTTATGCTGCAGCGTCCAGAAGGGGCATTGAAAACAAGAGAAAGTTCCATCATATGGTAAATTGGAAGCTTTATCTGAGCTATCATATGAATTGGTGTTGAAAAATATGTTTTCTAGAGGGGTTAGTCCATTCTTCAATACAGAAATTAACTTCTCTGGCGAGTCTTCGACTCTTGATGGTGTAAACCTGTGTTCAGCTAGCAAGTGAAGAACTAACTCTCGAGCATGAACAGCTATCTTCAATGCATGATTGCAGTATGAGCAAGCAGTACAAGCGATTCGCACACATTCTTTCACTAGTGTATTTAGTGGTACCGATTCTAAAGGACTGGACAACGGAAGAGTTAGGGCTGGAACCTCTTTAGAGGCTAATTCTATACCATCATCGTCAGGTCCTGACCTGGAGGGACTGCCCTGATCCGAGTCAAAATTATCAACAGCATTATCTCCATCGTAATCTATTATCATTTTTTCGTCAGCATGATTACTTTTCAAGCTTGACTTACTGTCCGTTGTCATGTCATTATTGTCTACAGCCATTGATAATTTATTGCTGTCAGAATCTGAGGTATCATTAGAGTTTACACTTGGATTCTGTTTAGGATTTGTGTCAGCAAGGTTGCTTGCAATATTTGAAGATGCATCAGCAGGTTGACTATCTGACTCATATTGCATCCTACTATCATCAGAAACAGATGGTTGGGACTCCATTGACACATCGATATTACTATCATTCTTCTCAGAATCTTTCTCACTAATTTGCGATTGGTCTGTAGGATTCAAAATACTTTTTGAATCTACATTCTCTTCAGTTTGAAAATGGTGATTAGAGCCTGTAGGCTCTGGGGATTCATTCTCATCCTCGCAATTTATAGGACTGGTAATACTTCTAGATCGAGCTGGTTTCGTTTCAGCCTCATAATCAGGGTCAAACACTGAAGAATCTGATTTGTTAAGCTTACTTTCACCCTCTTCACCCTCTTCATCCTCTTCGTCCAGAGAATCATTATCAGGGTCTGCTTGACTTTCGACTTTTTCAAAATTCGAGTTTAACCTAAAATTAGGATTATTAAAAGCAGACTTTTTGATGATCAATTTCATATCTGAGCATTTGACAGGGTTTTCAGATTTCTGAGACTCACGACTGTCAACACTTGATACTTCATTGAATTTCTTGACTTGCGTATCACTTTTGTTTTCGAGGATTGAGTTAGAGGTTTCTACTAGATTATCCATCTCTTCAGCATTGGAATTACTAAAGGTAGCGTCACCTTGGTTACCACTAGGGTTAGGACTATGATCATGCAAGGCTGTTAATGTACTGCTTCTAGATTCATCTTCATTATTTTTGGTTCCTAAATCTTCCTCTTCAGGCAAATTAGACACTTTACCATGACTTCCAGAGGAATCTTTAGAACAAGCAGCTAAATTACTTTCTTCAGAGGGCTGTACAGGGGAGTTTACAGTAGGTATAATGGTCTCTTCTTTTGAGTTACCTTCCCCGAATAGCCTTGACAAGATTGGAGTGTCATTTGGTTTGACTACTTGTGGTAAATCACTACACTTGGGCGACTCAAATTTCTCTGAGTCACTAGGTTCGGCCCCTGACATACTTTCCCCTTCTTGCAAGTCAACGCTACAAAAACTTGAGGCAATATCATAACTCTTATCATCCCGTTTTGGCAGTATCATAGTTGTGGTTGTGCTGGGATTTACTCTAATAATACACTTGGTGGTGGCGACCTTCGTATCAGTCTGATTACCTTTGAAAATTAAATTCCTCTGACAGCGTGGTAAGTGTCCATTTTTAACATTGCATACATTACAAACAAACGAACAGTTGTGTGAGCTCCAGTCATCAGATTCACCAAATGTCTTCCCGCAATCGGTGCAAGATACAAAAAGTGCGCAGTTGAACATTTCCTTAAAGTCCGACAGAGTAGGAAACGATTTCACTTCGACTCCATGTATTAACACTAAGTGATCAGACAGTAAGTAACTCATTTTGAACATCTTAAGGCACAGGAGGCAAATAAATTGGTGGTGGACCTCCTGCATGTGTAAGAACAATTCCCAGTTCTCGTAGTACGTGCCACACGCTGAACAGAGATACACCTTTCTCGATATCCGAAAATTCATCTGATTGATGTCATCTGCCGTAGGGTAGGTCACTTTTTCAAAATTGGGCTTCTCTAAACTTGTTGAACTTCTGCATGCTTCCGAAGACTGGCAGTTTTTCTGATGTTCTCTCAGTTCAGCGTAGCTTTGAAAACCGACTTGGGCACAAATACAACACTTGAATTTTAACGAGGGTTGGAGTCCCAGATACTGTGCGTACTCCGTCATATGCTCCTCTCCAATTTCTCCACAGTTCTGACCAGGACTTGGAGCAGGCAAAATATATTTGTGCTTGGATGATGGAAGCAACTTTTTCTTCTTTAGACTACAGGATTCTAAGCAATCATTTTGTGATAACCTTTTAGTTAGTGATGAAGATTGTGTTTCACTATCAGTTCCAAAATTTTCAGTAACCGTGGGCATGTCAGAATCTTTTGAATTTTCCACATTAGTCTCCTCCTTATAAGTACCAAGGTCTGATCGTTTGGTGCTTTCTTCCGACTCTAACTTGTTTTCTAAAGAATTTGAATACATCTCAACATCAGGACTGGAGAGCCCACTTTCTTTATTTTTAACTGTTGTACTAGTTTCACCTCCATCTTTTGGTTCTGAGCATGAATCTGAGAAGGATTGATCTAAACTCATTCTTGTATCTTCCTTATTGGACATTGAGGGTGTATCCTCATTTTTACTTAATACAAAATCACTTCCACCGATAACTTTTAGGACATCGATATCCATTGGTTCTGTTTCATTGCTGACACCTATTATCCTCATGACAGCATCTAGCTCCTTCTTTGATGTTCCCCCTATGTTGGGATGGATCACGTCTGTTGGAGACCCTTCAGAGTCATTTTCCATTGCCGAACCAATAACTTTCATAACGTCAACTGAAGTTCCTTCTGACTCTATATCTTTGCTACAGCCAATTACATTCATAATGTCAGTAGTTGTTTTATAGGGTTCCTCTTTACTATCCAATCCAACAGTTTTTGAGTCATTAGAAGCAGTGCTTCCTGATTCTTCTTCTATTTTGCAACCAATAACATCCATGACATCAACTCCAGCACCAAGGGATTCTTTTTCATTACTTCCACCGATAACTGCCATGACATCAACCGCAAGTTCTTCATTTTCTTGGTCACTATCTTCGTTTCCAGAACTTAGATTGTTCAAATGAGACATGTTTACCTCACTTCCCTCATCATCAGATAAACTTGAGTCACTCGATATTTCCATTCCCATGTCCTGCGATTCAAAATTAAGATCTAAGTCTTTGGAAGGCTTGTTAGTTTTGGTTACTTCCTTTGAAATGTTAGCGTTAGATGTTTTAACTCCTATACTGATGGATTGGCATATTTCTTTCGAATTGGAGTTACTACAACTATCTTCATCAGCTATTCTATTACCAAAAGCATCTACCTCAGAGGAATTACGAACAGATCTTACAGCAATTGTATCTTTTAAATTCCTCTCTCCACCCGTACAGTTTGAGAAAGAATCTTTTAAAGGTTGGGTATGATCAGAGTTATTAGAATCCTCTTGTTCCATTTCTTCTACGGAATTTTCAGGTTTAGAAATATTCTTGGTTTTAGATACACTATTCAGCATGAGTTGGTTGCTAGAATTTTTTGGGCTTTGATCTACATTATTGGACAATTGATTGACGGGAGCTTGGGATGAATTAACTTTCTGCACAGAGTTGAAAGAGTTGTTGAGACTGGAATTGTCAGTTTTCTCAGTACTGTTGAAGAATTTGTCTGACAAACACGAGTCTTGGGAAGCTTCTTTCAGTGGACTAGTAAGCGTCTTTTCTGGAGATCTTGCAGTAATTACATCATTGAACTTAACACAGGTACTACTATTCAGCAATTCATTAGAATTTTCGTGATTTAAATGAGGATCAATCCTTTTGATGAATGAATTATTCAGATTACTTTTAACACTATTACAAAGGGTATTTTCAATTATTTGGGAGACATTTTGGACTGGCTCTGGTTGGTCTCTGCTGTTCTCTGAGTCACTACTATCAGATGACAAACTCAACTTCCTTTCAAAGACAATTTCATTGCTTTTGAGGGATACATGCGACCCAACTGAGTCGATGCTTTGTCTCTCATTTCTATTTGCATTATAATTACTTAAACCGGAGTTTGAATTTTCAATTGGTATTGAGTCTATGGAGGTGTTGAAATTAGATATGCTACCTTTAAAATTTGTTGAGCTACGTCTAGGATTGGGACTCGAATTTACACTTTCATCGTCTTTCTCCGGACTACTCCAATCTTTACAGTTTTCTAATTTGCTTGGAGTCTCAACCGAATCTGAGCTACTGCTGTCATCGGAGAGTCTACTGGATTTTACATCGTCACAAAATACCTTGCTGGGCTCAACTTTATTTGAGTCGCCAGGTTGATTACAATCCCTAATGCTTTTCACAGACAATTTGATGCCTGTACCAGTTAAAGAGCTAGACCATTGATTTACTGGTGAATCAGAGTTTACAGATGTGTTTGACTGGTTCAAAAAGGATTTGGACCTCTCGTCATCACTACTACTACTGCTTACGTCGCTGCTGGCAGATGAGTCATCAGAACTGCTGCTTTGACTGAGTTGCTCGGGATCCAAACTCTCCTCCTCATCTTCCTTCTCCGAGACCTTCCCGTTGACTCGTTCCAATTGTGAGCCACTCTCATTCGGATCCAAAAGTACTCCTGGCATGCTGACTTTCGGCTTCTTGGCATCAACGTGGTCTGACTTCAAGGGACTGTCATCCTGATCATGAAGGTCTTTTGATACGATGAAATCTGTCTCGATTACGTGCGATGTTAGGTCTTCATCTTGGACATTTTCACTTTCCATTTTTCTGTTGAAAAAGAAAAATCGTATTAATGAAAGGTAAGGATAAAGGTCGTATATAATATCAAATTGAAAAAAGCCTCAGAAAGGCAAGACAAATACAGGCAAGAATAAGAGGAGCAGAAATGACGCTTTCAGAGCAAAAGTAAAAAATTATGAAAAACACAATACTTATTTCTAAACATTGAGTAAAATGCTGATTTTATTTAGGACAAAATTTGATGAAATTCCAAGCTATTTTCTTTGAAAACACCGCTCAGTGATTCAAATGCATTTAACTTCAGTGATTAAGGGGGAAAAAAAAATTATTTCCCATTGGGCAAAAGAAAAGAATCTACTAACAAAATTTTAAGTCTTAACAAGACTTAATTGTTATGCTTTGTTTTCTGGTAAAAAATTAAGCATGAGAATAAATTAGGAGACATCTGATGTGGTTAGGTCGAGTTTGGTGAAATTCATCTGATTATCCCATGTTTCACAGATGTATTAGAGTTTCAAGGCTGAGTTTTTCCAAATGGGTCAGTTGCGCTGGTCACAGAATCGTGTTTTGATGCTTTATTCTTGTAGATTAGTTAAAAATAATAAGATCTGTCCAAACGGCAACTTTCTACATTGAATATTAACAGAGATACCGCACCTTGAAAAACGTGAATTATGATGTCATCCACAGCGTTAGTACATACCATGTTATGCACAACTTCGGTTGATGACGTCATAAATTGCGTTTTTCAAGGCATGATATCTTGGTTGATATTCAACATAGAAAGTTGCTGTTTGGATAAATCTTGTTATTTTGAACTGATCTACAAGAATCAAGCATCAAAACATGATTCTGTGACCAGCACAACTGACCCATTGTCTGCTCAAGATATTCTGTAATGTCTGTGAGTGATGCAAGGGGCCACATAGAAAATTAAAAAAATTAAAAAAAAAACAAGCCTGATATCATTCATGAATGACCTCTGAGTAAATAGGTAGCCAATTCGGCAAAATTTAGCCTCCAGCAGAATGATGTTTGTTTACAATTTCTGGACAGGTAGCTTCCTTATTAGCAAGAAAAGAACTTCCTTGCTAATTATGCCTCCTAAATGAGAATCACATACATAAAAAGGTTTATCTATATACAGCAGGCATTCAAAAGCTTTTGATGTTTAGTGCTCATCCTTTTCGTTTCAGACTTGCAGGGGCAGATCTGCAGGCAGAGGAACCGGGAAAAGTCCTGGTGGGCCAGTCGAAATTAAGGGTAATTTTAGGCCTGATTATCTCCTTCATACAGCAAAGAAAAACCCATTAAAATGGGTCCTTGCAGCACTGATAGACCGACATTACTATTTAATTAAATGGACCCAGTTTACCCTTACAGACTTGCTCTTATTGGCAGTCTCGTCCTCCTTTAATTTCATGACTGTTTTGGGAAGTTACAAGGGTTGATGCATCGAAAATAAATAGGTTTTCCTCATATCAAAATCCGAAACATAGATGGATTACTTTTCGTCACACCTCTGATGTGAGGGTGCATCTCAATTTCCACATCAACTTTGTGCTCTGTATAATTTTATGCTTCCCGGGGTTCATGTGGAAATAGGGTTACGCCTGTAAGTCAAAGGAGCAACATTATGGATTATTGTATTTAAATGCGACTAAGTAACCTGAGTTGTTGTTTTTTTACTTCCTTTTCCCATGTAGTTGAAAAAACTATGTACACTATCTTTGCTATTCATTAATTGCAACCAACAATCAGCTGATGGCATCATAATATGCACGGATCAAATTAGAGGGCTGATGACGCTGATTTTATAAATTACCTACAGATGAATAATTTTAGCTTGATTTTGTACCATTTCTCAGCGGTCCATAATATTCCTGATCACGCAATCCGAGCTTGCGCAAGGATTGAGGAAAGCCTGCAGATTTTTTTTTTGGTAGAAGGGGCGACACGGCGCAATGCCTAGAATAGGAATGGTAAAATAAGCGTAGCTTAAGCCCCTCTTACTATCATTTTAAAAGTTTCTTCCCACCGGTCAACCGAAAAACTGACAACTAAAAAATGAAATAAAAAAAGTCATCACTTTTTGCGGAAATACTTTTTTAGCTTGTGCAAAATTGTGGAAAGCAGGGAACTCTATCGACCCCTGCCTTTTCTAATGACAAATGATGGCAAAGTTGTAGATGGAATGCACCTCAGGAGGCATGAGCTTAAAACTGATAGAATTCAAAATATCATGATTGAGATTAGTAAACATCTCTGACAGTCTGTGCTCTGGAAAATAAAAATCTTTGAGAGATGGGAGAAGAAATGAGAAATTTCATAAAATTTAATAAATCTTTGCCAGAGACTTGATATGCTATGAGACACAGAAATGATAAAATCTTAATTTTTAAAATTAAAAAAAAAAAGGTATTATGAGTCTTTTGAAGTTTCTCATTGAATTCATGGATAATTGTTACAGGTTGTCAACAAAGCTCATGAAAAAACATTGATATTTCATGGAAAATGAGAAGAAATTTTTGAGCAAAGTGCAATTCTTTCAGGTGAAATATCACTTTCCATCTTTGAGAGGGAGGATTTACACCTAAATAATTCCTTTCATATCCATCCTAAGTAAATTAACAAAAATAGCCAGGAAAAATGTATCAATACTTCTATTATCTAGGAGATGACTCTGTAGAGATAACTAAGCTAAACAATAGATACCTTTGAGAAGAAGATCTAAAAGCTGAATTAAGGGAGTTTTAATCAACTTCCGATCAATCGGCTCCTTTTTCCTTCTTCTCATGTCACCACTGAAACAGAAAGATTAAGAATTCATAGTACATACACATTGTATTCTTTGAAATATTACAGTATTATTTTGTTGAATAGAAATTTGAAAACAATGATAAAAGTCTCCCAACAGCTTGGATTACAGAGCAGTCAATAATCTTGGCCTTAGACTCATTGGATCAAATGACTCCTCCAATCCCTTATAACTCTTACTACAACGCTTTGTACGGTCATCCAGAGGAGTTCATTCTAAGAGAGAAATAAGTAGTAACCCTGCTATGGGAACATGTCAATTAAATTAATAGTAGGGAACATGCCATTAAATTAAATGATGCGGCTCAATTTCAACTTTATCTCATCATAGCAGATCTCATCTGATTAGCTTATACATTCAGCTTGCCAACAATATTTTCTCTTATTCTCTCGGAGTGACTAGTGTCACACAAACAATCTAATTATTGGATCGTTTGATATTTTGGGGGGGAAAAACACTTCAAAGGATTCTCATAATGGCTTAGTTAACATCGTACAGAGAAAGGTCTGTTGGAATTAGTTTGCGCAAATCAGAGATGACAGTTGACCTTCAGCGACTTTACAAGACAATTAAACTGCAACTACTGAATAAATTATGATTACACTAAGGAGGCTTGTAGGTTTATGATTTGCATATTGGTTTTTTTAAACCTCATTGCACTGATATGTCTCATTCAGAGGATTATAATCCAAAAACAGTAATTGTCTCATGTGCAGGATTTCTTTGGAGGCACCTTACATTAATGATTTTCTCTACCTACTGCACGGTGGCTTAGTCCTAGAATCACTTTCTGCAGGACTCACAAGGATGTCTATAGCTCGCCATTTAAAATTAATTCACTAGAGAGTCAGCTCGGAGTAAGATATGCTCATAACATACCATCCTGCTTACACCAAAGTCTTAGGTTCTACCTAAATTTCAGTCTGTTCCTAATTGTACTTTCGAGGGTTCTTCTACTTCTTTCAGAAGTTTTTCTACCTACTTTCATCATTTGACGTACTAAAATTCCATTGGTATATTTATTGTTTTTGCTTTGGCAACATACTTAATGGATTATTCGTTCCGCTGTACTTGATGATAAGCTAAGTTCCTACTATGTAGACGTTCGGACACAACGTTGACTACATGATTATACAGGTTGGTTGAAGAATCTATGAATCTTAAATGGCCATAAATGAAAAATGGCTGAGAAATTCTCTGTCCGGTCAAAACATTCTTATCTTTCACGGTTCTTCAATAGGTCCCGCGGTTATTAAGATCCAAAGAACAGACACCGGCTCAACTAATGCGCGTTGAGCCACTAAAACCGTCTGAACCAGCTATGACGTTGATAAAGTGAGTCATGTCATTTTAAGATTTCGCATTATTGCACCATGTGCCGATCACGATATAACGCATTCCATAACTCTAGGTCTGAGGAACGTTCCACCGCAGGGATCCTGCTGAGGGGCTGGAATGTACCTTATTTCTCATAGTAACTGGAACTCATAGGCAGCTTACTTGTGAGAGCAAAGGGGTCAGTTCTTACTTAATAATGGCCGTTAAGTAAGCCCGTTACTACTAAACTAGTCCAACCGCGGTGGACACCAGGCCACCAGAAGAATAAAAAATGATCACATACCAGGAATGAAATCGATATTTTGATGCCAAGATAGATGTGTAGTCCTTGCATGATCCAGATTTATGTAGTCACAAGAAATTTAGAGCATTTGCAAAACAAGGTTGAATGTTCACAAACACTGTGGGATGCACTACGGAGCGAAAGTATGTCGCGGTGCGTGAGGGATCGAAGGATCACATTAAAACTTAAGTTAAAACTTACACGAGGGACAAAATTACAAAATAACTTCAGGAAATGCTGAGCAAAGCAACAGTAAATATAAATGAATAAAATGGCTGATGAAAACGCGCACTCTCAACCACAACACGGACTTTTGTTTATCAAAATAAACCGACTTAAACTTCTTCAATCACCTGAAAGATTTCGGTTTGAAATTTTAAGCGATGTAAATTTCAGTTTCCACAATTATAAGATGCGAAAGAATGGTAGAAATACACTTTAATTCACTTTTTAATTGGCGATGACCTGTACCCCGCCTAAAAGGTTAGAAAATGGCGACTGCACGCTCGCACGAAAATAAACAAAAGCTTCACTGCCCGCGAACTTTATCCTTTATCATTTGAACTCAATAATTTGTTAGTTTGGGCTGAGTATTACATTCAGATTCCAGCCCGAAGAGAATTGAAAGTTTCCTTTAAAGTTGAATGGAAGATCCCTAATGAGGTGAAATTACGATGAATGATTAGGGGGGTCACTAATGAGTCCCCGTCAATGTGACTCCAGGGAAAAGCCCCAATTTCTTGGGCATAATGTGAAATCATGGGATCAAATTGATAGAAATATAGCCAGACTTGCTAAGCATCAATATTAGTCCATCCAAAGCCAGGTTTACAAACGCTTCTCCGAAAATTTTTCGAAAATTTGCAAATTTATTTAGGCTTACGCCTCATGTTCCAGATCCAACGATATTTTCCCACGTTCCTATGACGCAACTGACAATTCAGTCCAATGTTCAATGTTTCTATTTTTAAGGTTTCAACGTTGCCAAGTTTACGAAAACGTAGCAATCTCAAAAACTAAAATTCAATCAGATTTTTAACAAGTTAATAACGATAAAATATTAAAATTTATTAGAAATGTTGCAATTTATGTCGTAATTTGATTATTAGAGTTGTTTTGGTAATGAAGTATAGAAAACTTATAAATCAAGATGTTATTTATTTCCTCTGTTTATTTCTGAACTTGGCAATAGATATTCTAATTTGGTTCACATTTCTCGTTCCTTGGCGGTATTATCATTGTTTTGATTTTGTGAAATGTGAATTTGATGCCGCATGCAAATTGTGACTTTGAATTTCCTTTACTAAATTAGTAAATTTGTTATGTTTTTCAGTTTAATTTAATCCAAAATTTTGAATCTTTGACAGCTTTAAGCATCAGGTAACGAGACTAAACTTCCGAATCTTCAATTATGTCTTTCGGAACCAGCACTCCAACTACAAAACCACCAACCCTGGGATTTGCTCCTCTTGGAACATCAGCAGCTTGTGAGTTCTAATTTGCATTAAAACTTCTATTTTTAAAGAATTAGGAAGCTAAAAGATCAATTCAGAATGTACACACTACCCACAGAAATGAATAGATTTTGTTCAAATAAAGTTATTGCTTCTCCTGAGAGTCCTGCTAAGAGTAACACTTTCGGAAACGCAGAAAGTAAACTTTATCTCATGGAAATGAACTGAGAGCCCACTGGCTTCAAAGGAATAGTCTACGAAATTCTCAGATTAATCAGTTGATCTTACGTTTACCTTCCAATTGTTGTAAGAGGCTAATTTTACTTGGAAGTAAACTTTTATGTGGATGCCTGAAAAACTAAAGTGTCTGCGCTTTCGGCAGAGGTCAACCTCCAAGTATTGGTAATAACTTAACAGTTTCAGATTGGAGGTAAAAGATGAGACAAACATCATATCAACCTAAATGTATCAATTGTCAGCTGTCCCATTTTCCATGCACATTTTTGTTGAATAATGCCATTTTCCAATGCAACTTTCATCTCATCTTCTCTTTCAATATTCCTACTAAGCAGGTTTACAGAAATAGCCTGCGAGTTACAGCAAGTTGGAGGAAATTTTAAAAAAATGACCTTTTTTTGTTTTTTAATTTTTAAGAAAAGTAGGATGAATCCCTTGCTTTACTGACAAATCAGACAAATCAGAAACATGCTGTTCGGTATTAAAGCCAGATAGCAGGATTTGTTTGGCGTCTTGAAACTTTCTACATCTCTGTCAGTATTTACGCAATGCAATGTATACTTGGAGCACTTTACGGCTCTTGATAACCATTTTGAAAACTAAGAAAATAATCGATAAGTAAGTCAAATAGGGAAAGAGATAGCCGCAAAATCACTTTATGCCAACTTCCTTCTAACTAGAGCACCTGGGTTTAACAGAATAGCAGCAGTGTATCTAGTGAAATGTAGTTACAATGATAAAGCAATGGGATCTTCTTTCCTCATGGATTAACTTTTTCCTCATATTGAATTTGACGCCTAACCATTGTTTCATGTTCTCTATTTTGTTTCAGCTTCAATGCCATCCTTCAATTTCTCTGGTGGAGGAACAAAACCATCTTTCAGTTTTGGATCGACACCTGGTAATTATTTCAATTCAATTCTCTTTTTTACCATAGCCGGAGCCTAAGATTGCCCAAGGTTCCTTCTGGAAATAGGGAATGGGGGGCAGGATTGCAGCTTTGAGGGAATGAATCAGTAAATAATGTTAAGCGAATGAAAAAAGCAGGGGACTAACTTTCAGGGTGTCTACAGGTCTGAAAAACCTGTGGTAAACAGGGAATTTCAGAAGGTCAGGGAAAAGTTACGGAATGTTATGAGTTAGACTGGAGCAAGTCTGTTTGAAGATAGATTTCAGCGGAAGCCAGGGTCAAGGGCATCAGCAGGCTGATTGTTGAAATTGATAGACAAAGTTATAGACATAGAGGACATAGGGAGTATGGAGCAATCCTATCAGCTGAAATTTGCTGTTCCTGTAGACTAAAGGAGAAAATTATGGACTAACTAAAGGGTTTCTCGTGGGTTGCCGTTAGTCAGTCTATTACCTACCTCCTTTGCCCATTTCAACCATCTGCTTCCACCAATGATGCCCTCATCCTTTTTGTCTGCTTTATCTACAGCTTTGTCTATCAATTTCAATAATCTACCCGCTGGGGGGTAAACATTCATGATCTTGCAATCTCTTGAGATATGAGCCCAAATCGACTGTACTAAGCAAAAAGGAACCAAGCCACATCAGCTATTGTCAAATTTATTGGGCAATGTGATTTATTACATGAAAATGGTTGTGCAGATTTTTTTGCAAATTTTAATGAATTTTCTGTATAGTTTTGAACAAATTCCTCAACATTTTGACAAGAATAAGCATGAGCGTTCTCTTGGAAAAATTTTAATTGCCCAGTTAAGTTTTGAAATAGCTGATGTGGCTTGGCTCCTTCCAGCTAAATGTGGTCCAAATTATGTATACCCTCAAGATGGAAAATTCCAAAATTAGAAGGCTCCCTCAGTGATAAAAATGAGAAAAATTACATATTTTCCCAAGAGGCTAAAGTTAGATTATAAGAAACTATCAGGACCTTGGAACTTTTTGTATCCCTGAAAGCTGCTCAATAGCTTCATTCTAGCAGTAGTTACAAGATACTAAATTGTAACCTACCTTCTCAAATCTGCGCAACTTTTGGGAAGGAATGAAATCATACTGAGCAGCCCTAAATTTTTGAATTGTAATTAAGGCCTCTGGTAGGTGGAGGATGCAAGTGACAGTTTTTTTATTATTAAAAAAAAAAAAAAAAANAAAAAAAAAAAAAAAAAAAAAAAAAAAAAAAAAAAAAAAAAAAAAAAAAGATTTTAGTGATATAGAACCAAACTTACTTCAAATTAAACTTTGTACAAAAATTGACCTTAAGAATTCAACGTTCAGCTTTATAACATCTGATGAAACTATTCATTTGTAAAAGGTAGCAGTAGCAATCTGATAATAAACTATGTTTTTTTATTTAAAAAAAAATAAAGTAAAATAAAAATAACAAAGTAGGCAAAATAAGAAAAAAATAAAGTAAAACAAAAAAAATAAAGTAAAAAAAAAAATAAAGTAAAAAAAAATAAGGTAAAATAAAAAAAATAAAAAAACACTTTCCATTTGCCATGAGATTCAATGTACCTGTTTTTGAACTTGGATAAATATCCAGTGGTTTACCATTATTTCCTTTCTTTTTCAACACAGCATCAGGAACAACTGGATTTTCTCTTGGAGGCGCTCCTGCAGCCCAAACCACAGCAACTCAAGCCACTTCCACGGTGCCAACGGCCACAGCTTTAACAACACCTGCAACTTCTGCTGCACCAGCTACTCAAGATGCAGCAAAACCGGGCTTCTCCCTTAACTTTTCCATGCCAGCAGCTACTTCCTCCGCTGCAACAACTGGCTCATCTCTTCTACCCAGCACTACCATTGCGTAAGCCTTAGATTATCATATTACTTTTCTTTTAACTTTAGTGGAAAAGGCTTATGCATGTGTGCTTAAAAGCAATACTCAATCCACCACTGTCCAATCCCCTACAGAAGAAGAAGAACTAACTCATTTGCTCTCACATCAAAAATTTTAGCGCACAAGAACTGAAAACTGTTAAACTTGGTTGAGGAATGGTTCCTTTGGACTCATTCTCATTTTGGTATGATATAGAATGAAGTAGAATTGCTACACTGGAGCTTTGTCATTAGCCAGGACTTGTCAATCTGTTTTTTCTCTCTTAAGTGCATTTTAGTCTCTTTAGTTCACATTTCTACTTTTTTCCCCCTGTCATTTTCTTATCCACACAATACATTTATCGCCGTGCTGATTCTTTCATTAATAGTTTGGTAGATGCTGAATTATCCCCACATTTGGTGTAGTGTCATCCTCCCTGTAGTCAGCAGTAAAATCTATACAAGAATCGTCCAATGAACTGGTGTACCAGTGAATGTGTCAAAGTTTAGTTCCCTTAATGAGTATGCTTTTCCAATATATGCTTGAGGGCGCTCAAGTTGAGTATGCTTTATAAGTATCGACAAGTTCATCACAGTGATAAGAGAGCGAGAGACACAATAGCCCGAATGCAGACAACAATAAAAACACACTAAAATACAAAAAACAAATGGGTTTACAAGGCTAGAGGAGACACAAAACAACCAGGATGTTTCGAGCCAATTACATGCCCATTCTCAACTGGAACAGAAGCTAAAAAATACAAAAATTAAAACAAGAAAATGAGCATGCAACTGACCGAGGTAGGAATCAGTGCAAACACACAATCATCACATTGAGCATACAGTTCTGTTAGGTCTTGATATGAATTTTTTTCATTTTTCTGTTTCCTTTAGAACCTCCACCACAACTGCCCCATCGAGCACACCTGCATCTATAAACTTTGTTCAACTAGAAGAATCAATCAACAAATGGACTCTGGATCTAGAAGAACAAGAGAAGACTTTCATGAACCAGGCCGCCCAGATCAATACTTGGGATCATTTTCTTATTAAAAATGCAGATAAGGTATGGTACATACTGCATAATATTCCGTTAATACACCTTTATACTGTCGTGCTAAGGAGTGAGGGTAAATATTTCATGAGCTGACTGAATTTTCTCTAGTTTTAAAAGTGGTAGAAGGAAAATAGGTTTGAAAAGGGAACCAACACTGTTTTAGAGTATTTTCTGAAGGAAATTCACTACTGCGTTCCCCCTAATGGTAGGACCTGGACTGGGGACTTTGTAAAAAGCACTTATCTTGAGTCTTAAATCACGAATATCCATGCCATTCATTTCCTGTCGTATATATATTTTTAGTCTTCTATTTGTAAGAAATTTGACAGATTTCCCTGTCAAGTTAAGAATTAAAAGAATTGTGACAAAAACAACTAACAATCCTCTAAAATCTTCAGGAACACATCATACCAATGGGTGAAGTGCGACACCAAGTATCTTAATTGTGGAGTTTCAAAATCACTGCTCCTAGTTTATTTGTTTGAATAGGAACAAATCAACTTTATAGCTTGAAATTTATACAGAATATTCCAATAGCAGAGAAGAAAATGTAAGAAAGTTTTCAAGAAATTACATAGACTAGTTTTCCAATGAATAAATTAAGTATGACTGGAAGTCTACAACATCGCAAACGGAGATTCGTGGTCGCTAACTTATTTTATTCTTCACCAAACACAGGCACCAGCCAAACATGATACGATACATGCAGCAAAGAAGGGAGGGGGGGGCTTATTTTGGGTCTGATACACCCTGTATAGAAATAATTTTGTTTTCCAGGTTTTTGGAACTTTTTAATATTTTCCCTTCTGCAGCAGCTCAGGGGGCAAGCTGATTAAATGATACGAAGGAAAGTTGTTTTTTTTTCTCCCTCTTCTATCTCTCCTACCAATGACCGTTTTTTCTCTGTTTTCAGTCACTCTTTGCTTAAAGTCTGTTTCTATTTTTCAGATCGTATCTCTAAATAATGAAGTAGAAAACGTCAAACTTGAGCAAAAGAAATTAGATCACGAGCTCGATTTCATCTTAGCTCAACAGAAAGAATTAGAAGACTGTTTGGTTCCTCTGGAGAAAGAGTTGGCTTCCAATAATGCAGCACGGGATCCTCAAAGAGAAAATATGTATCAATCGGCTGAGAATATTGATGTTCAATTGAAACAGATGTCGGAAGATTTGAAAGAAATCATCGAACATCTGAATGACTCAAATAGGTCCCAGGACAATAGTGATCCTATAGTTCAAATTGGTCGGATTCTCAATTTCCACATGAATTCCCTCCAATGGATAGATCAGAGCACATTGCAAATTCAAAATCAGTTAGATGAAATTACTAAACTTCATGGTCTCTATCAAAAAGACAGTGATCGAATGTTTTAGTTTCAAAAGCATTAATTGATTCTAAGTTTCCTTTAAAACAATTTTCAATATTTAAACCTTTTACAGCAAATAGTTGGAAAGATGGATGTCTCCAAGACTTATTTTAAAAGAAACAAAGTTGTTAAAAAAAATCTGTGCAGCTGTTGAGCAGTGATAAAGTAGTTCTAATGCGTATTATAAATGAACTCTTTATATAATAAGATGCCTTTCCATGCAAGATGTCTTAGACACTCAACTTTCTATAATTGGACGTATTTCTGCCAAATGGGATTATGTGCATTACGACATGAACCCTGAGACCCATAAAAATGTATGCTTAACAGGGCTCACGTCATAATGCACACAGTTCCGTTTGGCAGAAATACGTCCAATATTCCTGTCAAAATGCACCAGATTTCCGTTTCAAACTTGAGACTTTGAGCTTCCTCTTTTGAAAATTCGAAGAGCTCATAATGTTCTGTTTTTAATTTCTACTCTATGAGTCAAACTAATTGTAAGTCCTAATTGTAATATATTACCAGTTTATTTTCTAATATTTTTGTAAAATAAAGATTTTAAGTCAGTACCCCTCTGATGTTTTCCTCTTTTCTTCCCCTAAATTTTCTATGAATTATATATTTTTCTTTGAACTTCCTTGCATTGCTAAGTTTTTCCATCTAGTCATTCATCAAGGTTTCGTGTTCTCTTTTTAGTTCAGTTTAATTTAATTTCATGACCCCTGAATGACTTAGCAGTGAAGAATATCACTAGTAATATACTATAGAATATTACTAGCATTATAGTAATAGTTAGTAGAAAAATATTATGAGGTCCACTTGTTAAGCAGAAATACACGTAACAAATTGTTAATATTTTCTATTTGCACAAACTTTTTTATCTAAAATCCTTAAGAAATAACTCCTAATCAAATTTCTGCTCATAAGTTACATTGACTAAGAAGTGAATCAAAAAGACAATTTAGCTTGCCCATGGACGAATCAACCATGGATTATTGATTGAGGGGCACTCTAAATTTCTCCTTATTTTTAATTTTAATTTCCAACCTTTAATATCTCATTGCTTTGTTCCAATATAGAATCACTCGAGTTTTTTGTGTTTTATGAATTAGGTAGGTACCTACCTTTCTTATAATTCAAGGAATGAACATTTTACTCTTGTTATATCGTTACCAGTCATCATCTGTGGCAGTGCAGAAAGAATCATACAGAGAACCAGCACAGGACAAACTTGAACAAAGGAATTCCTGTATACAATGACCCAAATGTAGATGAGGCTTCAAGAATCTTTATACATACATACGAGTCGCTGTTATAGCGCTCTTTGGCGCTTTGCGACACCTAATCGCCACAAAGCTCGGTCTTCCCACAGGTTATCAGGGAGTTGACACTCCCTCATCTCACTTAACACCCCCTGTCGCCAACCTCTTACTGGGCGTCCCCTACGCCTCCTCCCAGGAGGAACCCAATCAAGCATCTTTTTTGGCAGCCTCTCTTCCGTCATCCTATTGACATGACCATACCAAACAAGTTGTTTGGTCATGACGTCGAACACGATGTCATTTTCGACTTCCATTATCTGACGCACTCTATCATTACGGACCCGATCTCTCCTAGAAATTCCTGCCGACCTTCTCCAGAAATCCATCTCCGTTGCTCTTAGCATATCCTGTGTCCGTTTCTTCAGCTGCCAAACTTCACATCCGTATGTTAATATACTTTTTACTACAGCGTTGTATATCCTCCTCTTGTTATCTTTGGAAATCCTTTGGAAGAATCTTTATCAATTACACAAATCTTAACAGGGACGGATTAATTCGCATAAAGTTTGAACCATCAAAAAGTGGTTTGAAGTTTTCTTCCTCCATGATTCAATGCTAAGGATGAAGTTTCAAAAGGAACTAAGTTCATGTTTAAAATGTTTTTTCGCGGCTGACTTTTAACATGAGAACTACTCCTAAATAATTTTTCCCTATCTATATTCTATCCCTAAAATTTTAAAACTGCCCCAGTTTTTTCTCAGATGAATTACCTACAAACGAAGTATACTTTAAAACTACAAAGGAGGGTGATAGAAGAACCTCTGTCTTCGGTGTAGCATCGCAAAAATTTTACACGAATCAAGATGGCATGGTTTCTGTCCCACTCTTAGAATGCTGAATTATTTTGCAGCGGATTTTAAGACCATTTCTCATCTTTCTTTCGCGTTGTGCGGAAGAACACGCTGAGTGCTGTAGGCGGTAGTAAACTAATTCCACGAATTCTTAGTTTAAATTTGGCGGCTTACTTAATAACTTAGATGACGCCCAAGATGGCCACCATGATCAAGTTGCTCCTTTTTTTTTCCTACGTCATCAGTGTGCAACAATCGCATGTGAGCAATAGCAAGATTGCAATAGTTTTTTGAAGTTTTCCTCTCAAATCAGTCCGGAAGAAATTATTTTATCGCATGATATGGCACCCATGCTCATGTGGCGCCCCTCCGTTTCGCTCGTCTGGACGTTGACGTAAACGATTTCATGAATGGATGACAGTCTTTTTCCTGTATTCGTGTGTTTACATTGCGATGAGCATGATACTGATTCGGTGACGGTAGCACAGCACTTCGTGTCTTCGTGTGGATTTGGATACTCCTGTTTTTCATCCTTTTAAATTGTGTTTTTGAATTTTAGTGTTTCGTGTGTGCCTTCATCAGTTCCGCTCTCTCTGCCTGTCGGATTTATTTTCGTCGCGTGCCGCGGCCGTAGTTTCTCTCCTAATTTAGCTGTCCATCGTAGTGTCAACAAGTCCTACAGTTCCTTATCATATGGTATCAAAATTCTGAATATTTGCCGCGTGTAATTTCAGTCTACTCCTCGTATTTTCTTTCATCTGTTGTACTGCCAATTTACTCATCTCGTTTGCGGTAAGTCTCGATCGTTTCATCCCTTTTTAAACTCGATTTTTAAATGACCTACTAATGGTTGGGTCGCCTGAAGAGTGGTTGCTTATTTCCTGATCATCCTGATTTAATGCTTTCACAACTATCTTAAGACCTAATTTGAGCTTAACTCACAATCTATACCTTTTCTGCTGTGCTGAAAGTCAGTATTTTTTGTCTTGTTGTTGTCGGTTTTACCATGTCCTATATTGATCACATGCACGTCAACTTCAGTCCGACTCGTTTCCGTACGGCTCACTATCAACTGAATCTCCAACATGTTACAAAATCGTTTTTCTCATCAAGTGGTGGATCATTTCTAAGGTGTACACATGTGCTCTTGGTACAATGTAAACCACCTGTTGATTCTGTCCCAGCCTGTCTGCAGAAGTTCCTTAAGTGCAAACCATTCACTTGATCTGCAACATACAGGCATCTAGAGCCAAGTATTTATCTCCCGTGCAATTTCTAGAACATGACACTCATGAAAATGTTGCCATCTCATCAGTTTTTCTATAGTTCAGGTTTTGTCATCATGAAGAAGAGACCAACTACTTTCTCGCTTATATTCAAGCTTAGTGGCGTGTTTCTAACCCTCAGCGTAAGCTACCCTCCTCCCCCTGAAGGAAGTCATAGGTCACTGTATTATGTCGAGAAAGATCAACAATCATAAGATACTCGCACATTTCAAGCGTGTGTAGTTCTTGGCTATTTTCATAATTTTTATGCTGTATAAAGCTGTTAAAAGTAAATCTGTGGACAGTTTTCAATGGAACTGAATGATCATGGACAGTGCACTGGTAGGTGGTCACAGTCAGAAAATTTCCCTTTTTGTACTGAGGATGAAACTACAATGTGACCTTTCATAATTGGCAGCACCGTTTTTACAAGAAATAAAAGAAAAATCACGTAGCCCAAAAACTGCAAAGATGGAGTGCTAGCTTCTGAAACATTTTTGCTCTTCTGTCGCAGTGATTTTTCATCAAATTTTATTATCATACTTATTTAGAAATTATTGAGTCCATACATTCACGAGAACTGTAATAATAGTCAATAACTACCTCTGCAGATTGTCAAAATGAATGAATTGTTGGTTTTCATATATCGACGGTGTAAGTCCGCAACCACGTATCTCGGTTTGCGGCGTCGCAGACCTCCTTTCATACCTACCTTATTTTTTACATGAAAAACTACTCAACGGCAATCCTTAAAAACTGCCGTGATTTTTCTTCTCAGTGCCAAGAAAATTTTGCAAAAACTTCAAGGATTGATGTCAATTTGTTCTCATTTAAAAAATAAAATAAGAACGGAGATTTTCAAATACCACAAACGAGACTTGTGGTTGCGGACTTACACCGTTGATATACAAATCAGTTTCATATCAGATGAACACAAGGTAAATGGAAAATTTGTATGAACCTAATTTAATTCACTTTCTGTAAGATATCCTCCAACAGAATTTAAGTATTTCCATCAGCCTTCGGTTGTCAGTGCACAGGATTGCCGGTTTTTTCTAAGATGAAATGCCCTTCGATTCTGGAGGAACTCTTCAGGAGTTCTGAAGGAACGCTTCTTATTATATGCAAACCCTATTCTGCCATCAAATATTCTCTTCAAAGAGATAGGTGTACCTATTATTTTGGTTTTCTGCATGCAGCAGCTAATAAGTTCGAGTTTCTGCATCAACTGATCAAATTGAGCCCTAGGGGGAAAAAAAAGATTGATTAAAGTCGTTTTCCTTCAGCCAAGTGGCTTTATAATATTTCCTTTTTGAAATGAGTTCCTGTTTTCATGCAATTTTCTAACCGGTACTCGGGTAGAATATGATGTGGTGGGGCTTCTCATCATGCCAATATCTCGGTCAAAATAAGCAACGCACGATAATAACGCCTTGATACAACTATTCGCATTTTATGGATGCGCGTGTTGCATACGGAAATATGGAAGGCGCGCTACTACGAATACGTGGCAACAATGTGTAATTTTTTGTTTATTTTACAAAACCGATGGAAAAATCGCGTATTTATTGAACGTTCACGAAAATGTGCACAATAATATCTCATGATCAAACACTGGTCAAAACGGACATTGAGCGCGCAACTATTCGAACTCCAGAGTGGGTATGTGGTATCACGCGAACATTAAGAAAAATCTTAACCTGTCTTAAATTACTAACGTTTATGAATGCCGTGATAATTTTATGAAAATTGTCTAATTGTCACGTTTTTACATTACCGCTTGAAATTTTGCGTACATACAAATGTTCTGCACTTATAGAATCATTACAATTTTAAAAAATGCATGTACCTCTTGCAAAGATTTACTATCGATCCTTTTTTGTTGTGCGCAACGTTCTCTACGTGAAAATATTCGCGTTTCTATCTCTTAATATTTTGAGCACAGTATAGTCTCGATTATCCGCGACTTTTTTCAGGAACTTGAGCGATCCGTAGCAAACAAGTTTGAGGTCAAACTGTTTTACGAAATGTCCGAATGCTGTTTAACAGGGAAAAACTACCGACCATGTACTGATCCCTACCATTTATGCACGATATTCGAGTATCCGCGATATTCGATTAACCGCGGTTTTCGATTAACCGCGATTTTCGAGTATCCGCGATATTCGATTAACCGCGATATTCGATTAACCGCGATATTCGATTAACCGCGATACTCGAGTATCCGTGATATTCGATTAACCGCGATATTCGAGTATCCGCGATATTCGATTAACCGCGATATTCGATTAACCGCGGTTTTCGATTAACCGCAATTTTCGAGTATCCGCGATATTCGATTAACCGCGCTATTCGAGTATCCGCGATATTCGATTAACCGCGATATTCGATTAACCGCGATATTCGAGTATCCGCGATATTCGATTAACCGCGATATTCGATTAGGTTTCCGCGATACCTCCAGTTCCAATCAGCGCGGATAATCGAGACTATACTGTACGTTATTGTTTCCGGACCCAGGGGCTTAAATCTTCTTTTGAGATTAGCACCGTAGCCTCATGGCTTTAGAGAGTTATCTCACAACGGAAATGTTTCTCGATTTCGGCCATTTCAAATGCTAAATATTTTCTCCCACCAACGAAAAGTGGTGATAAACAGAACAGGCACTCCTCCCCCTTTGTTTTCACGAAAATATCTGGCTTATGCCACTGGGTGAGATGCCAAAATTCATTCTAAGCTGCCAAGAAGGGCAACCTGAGGCCAATTTTTGTGCGGAAAATCGGCAACTTGGAACATTCGTGTCACGATTGCCGGGAAACTTGCCAAAATAATTTTCCCCGCATATTACTCCTTAGTCTGAAGATGATCAGGCTTTGTAAAACCAGGGGATGACGTTTATCTTCAGTTCTGCACTGCCGTGATAAGGAAGAACGCCGTATGAGCCATCAGGCGTTGCCAAATTTCCTTTGACAAATCACGAATGTTCAAGAAAATTTGTGAATATTTCTTTTCAAAATTTTCAGAGGATTTCGTTCGTAATTTGATTTCAAGTGTCTGGAAATGTAAAGGAAAAATATTTGTATTGGAGATGTTGCATTTGTGAGGAATCTGCAATTTGACTGTTGATTCTTGTGTAAAAGTTCGCGAGAAACACGATGGTTTCTCTGAAATTAACGCCCAAGCTCAAAATAAGCTCTCAAGTTGAGGCCAAAATGGAGGGGATATCCCGCCCTACCCTGAAAGTCCACCTCTACATCAAAACAAACTCTCCATGCAAAGATACGGAGCAAATACTTAAGCAGGGTTGCCGTGTTTTCAGTTTTGGAGTCCCCAAATAAAGTGGCAGCCCTGTCAATGTATTTGCTCCCTATCTTTGCATGGAGAGTTTGTTTTTATGTAGAGGTGGACTCTCAGGATAGCGTGGGATATCTCCTCCATTTTGGCCTCAACTTGAGAGCTTTTTTTGAGCTTGGAAGTTAATTTCAGAGAAAAGCAGTGGCACCATCGTGTTTCTCGCGAACTTTTACATAAGATTCAACAGTCAAATCGCAAATCCCTCACACATTCAACATCTCCATTTTCTTCAGAAATTAATATGTTACGAGAGGAAATTTGGCAACATTCGAATGCTCTTAAACGTTTTTCTTTAGTACTGCACCAAAGACAGATCTTTACACGAAATGGCAACACCTGTAAGGACACGGCGCGGACCGACCAACCAGATGCATTCTTGCACGAGACGGGCTAAAGGACGTCTCTCCTTCTCCCGCGCATGGGCGTTTCTCGATTCCAGAATGAGACTCAGAGAACATGGAATTATATGTGAAGCAAGGCTCACGTTGAAATTGAGATACGTCCTCACGCCAGAGGAGCGACGAGGAGTCATCGACTTTGAAATGACCTTCGGAAATTATGGGCGCTCGACGAGAAAGTATTTTTTCAACCTCAACTTTTACTTTCCGTCCAACTCATCGTAATAATTTTCCCCTCTCTCCCGCCCCCCTCCTTTGCTGCTTAGGGCTTCAGGATGTAGAGTAAGTTAGAACAAGCGCCCCATTGACTCCGCTTCCAACTTCAATTTCACTGGAAAAAAAAAAAAAACACATTGGATCTGGACTCCTAAAAACATCGACAAGAAAAAGTACTCTTGATTCAATCAGAATCTAGCTTAAATCAAGAACCAAGCCTCTTAATTTAAGCGGATTTCGTTTTGATTCAAGCAAAAATCCGATTGAATCAAGAGTATTTTTTCTTGTCAATGTTTTCAAGAGTCTTGACTCTAGATCCAATGTGGTTTTTTTTTTCCAGTGTTCCAGTCCGCTCAGCCGTTCGTCAAGAAAAGGATACATTTTGAGAGTAAAAGGAAACATAATATTAAATTTATGGATGTCAGGAAAAGAATAATAGGCACATACTCAATGAGAATAGAATTATAAAAACAAACATTTTTTAAACTTAAAAATTAAGCTAATACACTTTTAGAGATCAGATTAAATCAATCTTTAAATATCTAGTCATTGAATAAAT